GCGATTCGGAAATTGGTTGTTTACACGCACGCCCAAGTTGCAAGAGTTGTTTTGACCTTGATATTGAACACAAGAAACAGCTGATACGCTGTGCAGGCTCACCAACACATACACGGCGACCGGCGAAGAACATTTATTATTTATATGTAAAGCCCGCCAGCTCCCCGCACACACACACTCACACACACACACAGACACACACTCACTGCAGGACTCGCTCAAAAGCAAAACAAAGCCAGCTGTGGCTGACTTTCTTCTGGGTTTTTCTGCACGTGACGAAGACAAGGACGCGTTGCGTTAGAAACTCGCGTATCCTTAAGATACACCAGCACACACACACACACACACACACTCGCCCGATATTTTTTCTTGGCCAACAATAAATAAACACACACTGGCGAACGGGGAAGCCGGGAAATGTCTAAAAGCGCGCACACGTACCACCGGAACGGAAACGGAAACCGAGACCAAGTCAAGAAAAAACCCACTGCTGTGTGGGTGGGTTGTCCGCCTTTTTTCAATATTTTTTTTTTCGTGACGCCTTCCTTGCGGCTGAGATACTTTTTCTTAACGCTGCCGCGACGCCGAGCGGGAGGCGAAGGCGAAGGAGTTTCGCCGAAGACGTTTCTCGTGGTGTTGTCGTGTTGTTATTTCGCTCGCTGCACTGGTAGTTGTGGCCGCATTCGCATTGGCATTCGCATCCGCATTCGCATCCGCATCCGTGTCCGTATCCTTTGTTGATATCGTCGGCGGTACGGACTCAAGGAACATGTTGCGCACGGAGAAAAAACACGGAGCAGACTGAACGGACTTAGCGAGCGTGGCGTGCCGGAGCCGAGAGCACGATCCGTCACCAATGTAAAAACTCAACTAAAGCGATGATGAAAAAATCTGAAACAATATATTTTTGGGGGGCGAACGGCACACAGATACGCTCGCACACACACAGATGCACGGGCGACGCAGCATCGACAGGCAGACAGACAAAACGCGCACTAACACCAATGCGGCGTTTCAAAACGCAGCGGCAGCAGAGTCCGTGTCTGTGTGGGTGCGAGTGGTGGGTGGTGTGGGTGTGGGCCTGGCTTACTCTTACTAAAGGCCGCCGCCGGCCGACACACAAACACACACACACACACAGCCAGGCGGTAACTTCGAAAAAAAAGCAGCGGCCGCAGCATCAGCAGCGCCAACAACTAAGCGAGGCAACAAAAAAAAAGAAGTACAACAAAAAAGGACATAGCAAAAAAACCAAAAAAATATCCAACGCACACAGAGAAAAAAGTTTTTGGTTGCATAGGCGGCGGGCGGCAGCGTCGCAGTCGGCGTCTCTGCTGGCGCTATTCAAATGCTGCGACGCCGGCAGCGCTGCCACCTGCCAGCAACAACAACAGAAACAACAAAAACAACAAAAACAACAAAAACATCAGGAGCAGCGCCAACATTGACCCAAACTCACAGAGGAGAAAGGGGGTGGGGGGTGGGGAGGTGGTCTCTAAAAAACGCGGAAAAAAATTGTGTAAAAAAATAAAGGGGAATTTTGCGCCGGCGACAAACCCACGCACACACGTACATACATACATACATAGCCATGCCAATACACTCACACAGACGCACTGGAATTTTTTTCGCTGTTAGCCTTTGCCGCCCCAAATATCCTGTCTGCCCCACCCCCTTCCACCCGCCCCCTCCCGCTTTTTTTGCATTTTGTTTTGTTCGACTTTGATGCGAACTCACTTTTTTTTTTTTTATTGCGCAAAAGAGAGGGGAGTGCCGAAGGAGATAGAGAGATAGAGAGAAAGAGAGAGCGAGCAGGCAGTTGACTTTGCAGGCTGTGTTTGTGTTTTTTAATTTTATTTTTTGTTTTTATTTGGCACTGGTCAACAATTAACAAAAGTCATTATTGTGGCTTGTTTTTCCCGGCGATATTTCAGCTAAAACACCGTGAATTGGCAGATTAATCGATAGCGCCGAAGAGTAGGCAACTGTTTCTGCGGTTGCCTCATTTCTGTGGTTGCGCTTTCTAGCACTCAATCAGCCCGTCAGGGGGCGCTAGAAACCCCCAAAATTTTGTGCCACAAAAGGGTGGCCCGACCGATGGGCTGGGGAGGGGTAGGGAAAGGGAAAGGGGGCGAGCAGCACACCTCGGGCAGCAGGAAAAGCAGCAGGAAAGGCGGCAGCAGCCTCCGCCCTGACCTAAGCCACCGCGCTGGCTTAACTGCCAACAGCAACCACCTCACATTCAACCACCCACTGTAGCAGCAAACACCCACCTCCGCCCCTGAGCCCCCTCCACCGCCCTCCACCGCACCCCACCTCTGCCGCCGTCGACGTTTGTCTGCTGCCGTCGTTTCTGGTATTTCTAAGTTCTTTTTTTCGCATTGCAACCTTGCCTCAGCTTCTTCGTCCATTGCCACCCGCCCTTCCCCTCCCCCTCCCCCTCCCCCCTTCCATTTCTCTTTCGCTCGCTCGCAGTTTGCACATTTTTTCCCAGCATTTTTTCCATTTCCATTCGCTGTGCATTTTTTCTCTCGGCCGCCCCTCCTTTTTTCCGATTTTTTTTCTTGCCACAGGAAATAAATTTTTTCCTTTCTATCGCCCCGTCTCGCTTGCACCTTGTGCATTTTGACCCCCCCGTTCGCAAAACACAATCATTTTTTTTGCAGCCATTTCCCCATCGCTTTAGTGATGTTGCCTTTGCTGTTGCATTTGCTTTTGTGTTTTCGCTTTTAGATTTGCTTTTTTAGGTTTTTGTATCCTGGCACGAAGGAAAGACAGGGAAGGGGAGAGCCTTAAAAAATTGCAGAGTTGCCATTGAAAAATACAATTTATTATAAATTGTTTTTAGTGGCCAACTAGAATTGGGTTAGACAAAGCGACAATTGAGGCGCAATCCTTTAACAGGTTGTTTTGCAAATATTAGTTCCGTTTAAGAAAGTCATTTGGATAAGTTATCAATATTGTACGAATAATTTCTTTTTGGAATTATTAAACAAGATCATATGAACTTTGTTCAGTATTTAATTTAGCTAACACACATTAATTAAGTTAGAGAATATTTACAATAGGCGTAAGTTTGATGGGCAGTGCTTTATAATGTTACATGAGATATGTGTTGAAGTTAAACAATGGTTATGTAAACCCCAATAGCAATTATGTATGTATTCTACAGGTTGTCTGGTGCTTTTCAATTTATATTATTAACAATTTTATTTTATTTTGGAATTCTTAAACAAAGCCATTTAAAAATTCGAAAAAAAGTAAAAATTGTATTTTCATTTTGATACTTGGATGTTGCTTGAAAGTTTTTAAAAATTGGCTCTTGTCAGCCACAAAGTTTTTCGATATACCTTCGAGGCAGCTGGTAAAAACATTTTGATCAACTTTTGTGTGTGAAAAATTAATTATCACCACGTGGCAACACTGTCAACGTGCTTTGATGCCATTTTTTCGCAATCGTTTTTGTGCAGTACTCGCAGTTCAGTTCCCCTCTTTTTTTGCATGTTTTGTTGGATGTCCAAACATTTTTTATGCTGTTTTGTTCTGTTTTTGTTTTTTGAATACGCAACGCAATGGACAGTAACACACACAGGACCACACACGTATTTCAACACACACACACACACACACCGTCACACGGGCGTAACAGAAAAAGTACAAAAAAGCATTTTGGGAAAAGTATGTAGGTGAGGATGGAGATTGCATGGGCTTATTGCGATGCGTGACTCGTATTTGTGGACTTTGAATACAAACAAAACAGTCGGACACAGATAGAAACCCACACAAGTGCAATTATGAATACTACACACTCACATAATCGCAGAGAGAGGCACTCTCACCCACATCAATGTGTGCATTTCAATACGCATTAATAACTACGAATTCAATGTGTGGCAACCATGCTCATCCTCAGTACCTCACCCACACTCACACCCACACGCACACCCACACCTACACCCACAACCACACCCTCAAAGGCGCACACACACAGACACACACCGGCGTCACTGCAGCTGACGCCTAAAAAACGACTACAAAAAGCATAAAAATCAAATTCACCGCCCTGTTTGTTAATTTTGCTGCCGCTGCTCTTCAATTCACAGTCTAAATTGAAAAGCGCCTCGATTATTTTCCATTTGCAGAGTGTCTCTACTTTAAAAACCCAGTTAAGTTAAGTCAAATCAAAAAATGGTTAAATGATTACCCATTATACCAGCATCAAGATCAGCGTCCCGTTTTCTAAAAAAAAAAAAACATCCACTCGGTTGGGTCTCTAAATTCTAATTTTTTCGTGTTTTTTAGCACACGTGGATTCAACATTTTCGCTTTTTGATGTGCTCGCTTCACATGAACTGCAGCATTTTTTCGTACTACATTCTTGCTGGTTGCATTCTATGTCTGGTGGCCGCAAAACGTTTTTCCATGAATTTTTCATCCATTTAGCGACGCCATCGAGCCATTTTCAGGGCGCTTAGAATTCATTGATACTTTAGCAAATTGTTTTTTCTGTTTGATTTTTTACGATCTTTTTGTTTTGGGGAATTTTTAGGATTTTTTCGTGACATTGAATCACGGCGCGACAACAAATTCTTTAGCGTCAGGGCTTAAAGCGTACTTTGATTGTGTATGTTTGTTTACTATATTTTAAAGGCATGCAAAAGTCATGAGATGTTGATGTTTAAACTGAGATAGTTAAACTATCTTTGGAGTATTGAATTTAAATGTAACTTCTTAAAACCCGAAACCATAAACCTTTCAAAATACGCTCGCTCTTCTAAAATTCGAGCAGTCAGCTGCTACAAAAACAATTATATTAATTGAGACTGAGTTATTGAAGAAACTTGATCCAGATTTTCAATTAAACAATACCGACTTATTGAGACTTCAAGTTAGTGAATTGCGGAGTAATGTTAGTCTGATACTCTTGTTTGTCAAAAAAAGTTTAGATATTTAACACAAAGTTCTTAAAAATACTTGAATAGAAGTTCTTCAACAGCATGCAGCGACTTTACACTGATAGAAAGCGGAATAGTAAAATTAAATATATTGCATTCAGTTTATTTGTAATCCCAGAAGGCTTTGCCTAAGCTTTATCGCAATCTAGTGCTGTCAGAGCATTTATAAATCGTCGGTTTTCACCCGATTCCAAACAAACCGGAAGTCAAAATAAACATTTCGAGCAAATATTCGGAGGAACGAGCTGTGCAGCTGACTCAGTCCGAAGTGGCGGCTCTTCGGAAATCGGCAACTGACCAGAACAGCTGAATCAATCGCCAGCTTGCGATTAGTGGCTCTGAGACACCGACGCCTTGAGTCCGATTTTATTCGCTGCCGATCGCCCTGCCATGCAGAACAAACGGAGGCTCCTGCGGGAGTACAGATCCTACGATGATCTCAGCGAGCACTTTCGCATGTTTGGCTCCCAGTCACTGGACTCCTTACAGGACCGCGTGGACATGAATCCCAGTGGCAGCGATGGAGTGTCCACCGATGGACTCGACTACTACCCGAGCTGCTCGCAATCCCATTCGGGTTTGCTGAGGGAGCACAACTTCAAGGTCAAGTCCTACTACTACAACGTGGGTAACTGTGTGCACTGCAGAAAAAGGTAAATGTTCCAAAATGCATTAAGCAAATGTAGCCATTTATGCAGTTTTTAAACATAAGTTTGGCCTTCTGTTCATTTTGTAACTTTCGATACTTTGATACAGTTTATGGTCTCATTGGGAGAGTACAAATTAACTGCATACTGGTGAGTCTTGTTATGGAAAATGTATTCCATTCTAGTCGTTTTAGTTCAACAATTAACTATGTTATTTTTCTAACTTTGAAATCATTTTCTCCGGTTTGTTAATTAAATAAGTTTTTAAAATGAAATAGAAAGTAAGCAAACTTTGAAAAGCCGAAGATTATATACCTTTGGCGCTGAAAGTATATGTTTAGGGAGAACGGAATCTAGATTCGGCAAGCCGAAGTTTAAATACCCTTGCAGTTTAGGGATAGTTCCGAACTGCATATATAAAACCATAATAAAAGGCAACCAAAAAACGAGATATTCCATACATTTACAAAACATTCAAGGATGGTCCGTATAACAGATCAAACAAAAACACCTTTTAACGAGGAAAAAAGTTGTGACGATCGCACCTCCAATATTCAAAATATCTGATATCAAATTTTTGTGACGAAAATGAATAAGCATCGTCTAAATAAATATACTTAAACGTTCTCATTCGGACCGCTTCATTCAGGTATTTTGCCTACACAGGCATTTTCTGCGGCTTTATAATAGTAGAGTCCTATGCACACGCACTTGGTGCGGATCATCAATACATGTACTGTCGTCCATAGTGATATATGATATATTTTGTTGGATAAGTGAAACTGAGTAAGCAAACGGTATAGAAACGGACAGTCAGACGGACCTGGCTATATCAACTAGTCAAGTCATTCTGATCAAGAATATACATTTATAGGGTCGGAAATGTATTTTTCACTGCGCCACAAATTTCTAAACAATTTTATAATATCCTCTGTAAGCGTATAACATCAATGTAGCTATGACTATTTTCCGCTTTGTTTTTCGAACGTTCCTATGGCTTATAGTTATGAAATATTGAAAAAAATAACGAAGCTATAATTTTCCCGATTGTTTCTTTGGGAGCTATATAATATAGCCGTCCGATCCAACCGGTCCCGACGTACATACTACTTGAAACAGGAGGATGACTTTCGGGCCAGAGTTTTGATGCTGCTTAAGAATTCCTGTACTTTTTAGGGTAGAAACTATCTCCTTCTGACTTAAATAATAATAATTTAGGTTATGCAAAGAGTATTAAGCAAGTGCCGGTCATTGACCGGTTGCGCCAAAAATGTCTATTTAATGTAACCCTTCCAAGCCTAAGCAATATTTTCATCCTTTATCTTCCTGCAGAATCCGGTTCGCCATGGCCAGCCTGCGATGTCGGGCGTGTCCGCTCCGTTGCCACATTGCCTGCTGTCGCCAGCTGACGGTGAACTGCATCCCCCAGCCGCAAGTGAGCACGAAGCGCGGCAATCTCAGCGACTATGCGCCGCGGGTGGCGCCCATGGTGCCAGCCCTAATTGTCCATTGTGTCACGGAGATCGAGGCGCGGGGACTGCAGCAGGAGGGGCTCTACCGGGTGTCCTCGACGCGGGAGAAGTGCAAGCGGCTGCGCCGGAAGCTGCTGCGTGGCACGTCCACGCCGCACTTGGGCAACAAGGACATCCACACACTGTGCTGCTGTGTGAAGGAGTTCCTGCGGCAGCTGATACACCCGCTGATCCCCATTTACCATCGCAGGGACTTCGAGGAGGCCACGCGGCTGGTCGATCCCCTGGCGGTCGAGATGGCAGTCTATCTCGTGGTGCTGGAGCTGCAGCAGGCTCACCGGGACACGCTGGCCTACCTGATGCTCCACTGGCAAAAGGTGGCCCAAAGTCCGTCCGTCCGCATGACAGTCGCCAATCTGGCCGTGATCTTTGCCCCCACTCTGTTCGGAGATTTGGACCTGACCCTCGAAAACGTGGTTATTTGGCAGCAGGTGCTGAAGGTGCTGCTTCTTATGCCACCTGGATTTTGGGGACAGTTCCTGGAGGTCCATCCAGTCCCCACTCCTTTGGGCAGCTCCTACGATTTCGAAGAGCGGTACAGTCAGCGACCCTGGGATCACTCATCCACTCTGGGATGGACCTCCGTTAAGACCTACTTTAGGTCTATGGTAAGACCATAAGACGTTTTCGCTTTCACAGATTTTAGTTGAGTTCGACAAGAGTTGACGGAATAATTAAAAAAGATCAAACCGAATTCAATATAATTCCGTTAAAGTGAAAACTAGCATTTCCCAAGAGCCCCTTACTAAATAAATGTTGTTTTAGGTAAACCTAAGCAGCACCAACTTGTAGTGCAAAGCAGACGGCTGTTCAGAGAAGTTGACGCGTTTGTTTTGATCAGAAGGGAGGAGTACCTGCTTGTGCTATTTGTCGTCCAAGTAATGATTCACAACTGATTATATTCATTATAGTTATAGCGCTAATAAAAGTAGATTTCTAAGAACAGTATTTGTTTAATTAATGTCTGCAGTTCATTAAAATGCAAGGAACTCTAGAGTTGACAAATTTGTTTCTTTTCAAAATCAATTGCATTAATGGTCTTTGCTATTATCTAAATAAATAAAATGATTTCTGCCTGCGTCACTTGTTTTAAATTTATAACTATTCAAAATTGTAACTTGTCTTTTGGTTATAAATAAAAAGCAATAGTTATTTGAAATTAAAATTGAACTAAATAACTACTTCTTAATTATTTGTTTAGCTTTTGGGAAGAGAGATACTTTAATAAAAACAACAAATTATGTAAATTGTTAATTTGGTGTATGTTTTTTTTTTGTCACTAGTCGGTTGTTAAATATGCGATCCCCTATAATAGGCTTCAATATACAAATTGTCTAATGAAATAAATAAAGAACTTAAAATCTTATTCGCACCACATAAATAATATAGCATGCCCCAAAGCGACGTAATCGTAAAACTATATATTCCGAATATTGAAACATTAATAAACATTTTTAATTGAATTTGCAGTTTTTTCGCCGAACGTTGATTAATTCCCAACCGTGGAAAAACATGTAAAAAATTAATAATTTCCATTTCCCATATTTATGTTTCTTTGAAGCGTAAACCAAAGCACAAAGTAAAATATTTTGCCGCGTATACATATAAATAAGTTAAAGCGCCAAGAAAAAAGTTAGCATTTTAAAAACAATTTGGCGAGTGCTGTGCAAAAAGTGCGGCCATTAAATGCAAAAAACAAGCAAAGCAAAGCAAAGCAAACCGAGGTACTCGAATGCACTGGACGAGTGCATAAATAGACCCCCACCCAATGGTCGATCGGATACCAGGCCAATACATGGCCGGAATAATGTATAATACTATCAAAAATAAACACGGAGCGAGACGGCAGCTGTGTGCGAGCAGAGCGGCGACGCATTTGCTACGCGCTTCTGTTGCTAACCGCTAAAACGGCAAATGGGCTGGCAATTGTTGCAGTGGTCGCCCGTTAACGTTAACCAAATGCTAATGCCAAAGGCCACAGGACGCACACTCGCACACCCGCACACCCGCACACTCGCACACTCAGAGGGGCAGTTCGCACCAATACCGTGACAGGAGGGGGCGAAAAAATGCACAATAAATAGGCAAAACAAAAATAAAAATAGTTTACATAATTCATGTATTATATCGGATCAAATTTTAATGCCGCCGCCGTCGCATGTGTGCGTGTGCGGAAAACATTGCCTACTTGGGGGCGCGAGTTAAAAATGTTTAACAAATGGCATGACTGCAATGTATGTGAGTGTGTGCGTGGCGCGTGTGTGTGTGTGTGCGTGTGCATGTGCGCCTGCATAATTCGCATGCAGTTTTTGCTTTTTTAAGACTTTTTAGCCTATTTTTATTGTTAATTAAATGAGGGGAATAACAGACACAGTCCAGCGATGTTGAGCATGTAAGTGTGCGCGCTGCATGTGCTTGTGTTTGTGTGTGTGTGTTTGTTTTGATGTGCGCAACAAATTTTTGCAATTTTTCTATTTTTGTCGGCGGTTTTTTTTTTACCCGCTCGTGCATTTTCCGCTCGTTGTTCGCATGTAATTCACTAATTGATAGTGTGAGCGTGTCCCGACCCGCCACGCCCACCGCCCCCCGCTGACCGCTTGTGTAGTTGTGTTAGTGCCTGCCCACACATGAGCACACACAAAGTTGAAAGCGCAGCAAAGAAGAATGGAAAAAAGTGAATGCAAATGTCAAATAAAACTAAAAAAATCGCTCATAAAAATAGTAGAAGCGTATTATGCGTGGGGAGGTGGAAAAAAAAACCGCTCACCAATACTCGCACAGCGTGGTGCTAATAATAACATAGGGTAAAAATCGCAGCTCACTTTTATGCTTATTTCAGTTATTTCAGTTATTTCTGCACTTTTTTGCCGCTTTGCTAGGCGTGTTCTATAATTTTATGTAAGCTTTTGTGTCGGCCGCCCCAAACAAGTGGGCGCGGCATGTGGTCCATAAAAAGTTAATTTTTATGCTTTTTTCTCAGTGTTTTTGCGAACAAGACAAATATTTTGTTGAAGAGAAAAAACTTCAAAAAATACATGTCCGTGATTAATTTTGTTTTTAAAGGATTTCAATTACAACACGGACTTTCCTTGGGAATGCAAATATTTGCGTTGAGATTGGAATGTTATTTTTGAAGTGGTATTAAGGCTTAAAAGTATGCAAGGAATGCAGTGGCAAATTATTGATTAATGCTTAAAATATTATTTTTAGTCAAAGGTATTTTAATGCTTTCTCTGAATTGGCTAAAGCATTTATACATTTTTAATCAATTTCATCAGGTCTGTATTCAATCATCATTCTTATTTACTTATTTTTAAAATATTTTAAAAAATAATGTGTATTTTTCATTTCTGCTCCGTGGAAAAAGCGAATGGAGCTCCTGACATGCGCCCCAAAATGGTGAACATAATTTTTGGTCAGCTAAAAAAAAAAAGGTTGCAAATAGCACTGCCGTGCCCCCCCATCCCCCACACCTTAAAAAAAAAGATGCAAAGAAAGTGGCAGAGCAGAGCACACTAACATGATAGGCTGGCCGAAACATCCACACACTCTCACACACGAAAAATGTGGCCAGTTCCAGCTCAAAAGGTACGAAAAAATGGGAAATGGGAGCTGCTGCAGTACGTACGTTTCGTACGTACATTGAAAGTGCCAAGTGTAGTAATTCCAATTGAAGCTGGACTGGGCAACAACAAACCGACTGCCAAAGTCCAGCTGCAGGAGTTGCAGGATCGCCAAAAAAAAAAAAAAAAAAAATGGAAAGTGTGGGTAATTAAAAAAGTAGCAGCAGCCGCTTTTGAGCGTAGAAACGCACTAATTTTCAGTAGTGCAGCTTCCACTCCCACTCCCACACACACACACACACACAAGCGGACAGGGAGAATGTACATGCAAGTGAAATACAAAATTGACACACTCACACAGGAAAAAGGGCACACATACGCACACAGGGAGGCAAGAAAAAACGGAGAGTGTAGCATACTTTTAGGCATGCTGCTATTTCACTTTGTCCCGCACAAATGAACACCTCCGCCCCCTATTGCCACCCCTTAATCACCCCACTTTCGGTGGGTGTGTGCCTGCTTGCACCGCTCATCAGTGCTGCAAATGTTGTTAGCCCCGCACCGCAATTTGTGGGCATTGTGGGTGTGGCATATCTGCCGGACACATCATTCGTCCAAAAATGTTCGCTGTCAATGCCTCTGTTCTTGCAGAACCAAACAAAAATCAACAAAAATAGTTTACTTAACATAGATGTCGGTTCACGGGAATGTTGCTCTCTCGTTGACTGCTTGGAAAAACAAGTTATTTTGTCCAGAGGGTTTTGATGCTCCAAGGTTTTTGTTCGAGGTGTAAAAAATAATACAACCTGCTTATATATCAGCTATACCAAAGATATATTGTAATCATGGAAAATCGTTTGAGAACATTTTCAGGTTAACATCATTTTTTTTTTGCTAAAGATCTCTTAGTATATCTTTGGCCAAAAAACATAAGTCTCACGCATATCGGTAACGCATAAGGACTCTCCTTTGACAGCTGGCACCTGCCCCGGTTCTGGCCACAAAAAAACCGTTAAAAACAATAAGCTCAATTAGCAGCAATCAACGCCGACCGTGGACACTGCATAATTGACATTTTACGAGCAACTGCAGCTGTTGAGCAAGGGTTTTTAAGCCTGGCTTCCAGCCACGGCTTGAGTGTCATGGCAAGTGCGTGGGGAGCCGCGAAAAAATGTGAGAAGCGAGGCAACATGATACGACGGGGCTTAAGCACACTTGGAAAAATATTGTCTTCATTTGGCACCCCGAAACCGATTCCACAAGAGGTTTACAATATTGTCTGTGTACATTGCTAATCAAAAACCATTACACCTATCAATTAAATATAACTAGATTATGCAAATATATATCATTTATTAAGAACACTGCTCGGATTATGCCTAAAAGCATATACTGATAGTTTTATTCTATTGACAGTTGAAGTTTATATACCCTTGCAGCTATTACAAAAATTAAATTAATTATATAAAATGACTATAAGATTCCTTGAAATCAAAAGTACAATATCCGATCTTAGTAATTTATTAGTCAAGGAGTCAAACCAGGAAGGAACGCAATAATCTCGTGGCACGACTATTTGATACAAGTAACTCAGCTTGTCATTTTCAAAATAAAAATGGCCCCAGAAAATAATCGGGTTTTAGGTGTCTCCATGCCAAACTGCAGCAACAAACTCCTTATTTTCAAATGTTCAAATAGTAACATTTATGCTGATAACTTCTTAAATAATAGTTTGGTTTGAAAAATGGTTTTGTGTCTCGATAGTTAAGACCGAATGTATCGAATATTCACATAACTTTAACTAAATTTCTGGCTGTTAAAATTTTCCAGAACCTTGACGCTATCATACGGACAAACAAAAACCGCTTTCTTCCACGTGTTACATACTTTTCAACAAGTAACTGGTATTTAATACTTTTTAAAATCGAATAATATAACAACCTCCTTTTATTAATTAAAAATCTTAATAACACAATTCTTTTTTCCTCAGTGACATGGAAATCCGACACTTTTGTCGAGCTTAATCAACTGGCAAATTGTAAACAAAAGCCGATGCCTTGCCGGACCCTCGCGGTGCTTCGAATCCAATTGGACTCGATCCCCCATCGTCACCCAATCTTTCGGTCAACTGGTTCATGCAGCGCCATGGGCATCGGCATAATTTAATAGTGGCCACCCTCAGCCTTGAGTTTCAGCGCCAGCGGCAGCCAGAGGGAATAAAAATCGAAACAGTCGCCGACGCACTCACCTGGGGGCACATTTTGCACTGATACTTGCGTCCGCTGCCACCGCCCGCGGCATGTCCGCCGGCCCCCGATGCAACACCGCCGGGTCCGCCCATTTTGCTGGCATTGATCGGCTGGGGCACCACCAGCAGGGCCGCCGAGGCAGCTGCCACCGCCTGGTTGTGATGATGGGCGGCGGCGGCGGCGTGGTGCGAGCTGGCGCCCAGGCTGGAGCTGCCACCCACGGAGCCACCACCGCCGCCTCCGCCACCGAGGGTGCCGTTGGATGCACCCAGACCCAGGCCACCTGCAACAGGAAGAAAGGTAAAAGGGTCAAGCATCGGATGCATATGGATACTTATTTGTTAAATACTTTTTATGATAAAAAACAGTGAAAAATAAAAACAGGTCAAAAAACTTAAACTGGAAAGAGTTTTCAATTAAATGGATTCGGACATTACATTGAGAAAGTATGTAAATACTTCCGGTACAGGCATTTAACTTAGTGTGCAATATTTGACAAGACTTTCAGAAGTTAATAGCAGGTTTCACTGAAAATCACTGTTATGTAAATATTAGTCATACAATTTTCTTATTGTCATTAGACAGATTGTAAATAAAAATTAAATAAAAAAAAAATCAAAAACTTTAAGAAGTCGGCCCATTCATTTGAGGTTTTGTCTGATCTTTGCTTAAATGGATTTAATTGATTGGATTGATTGTACATACAATTAACTTGGCAATTGAGATTTTTGGCAAACAAACCTGATTTAAAAAAAAAAAGAATAAAAGAAATCAATAAGGGGCTTAAGTTAAATGTTCTTGACTCGAAGTTGTTAAAAGGCTGGGGCCTTTTGGTGCGATATTTTAGAAGTGTAAAGGTCATGTAGCTCAACAAAAAATTGTTTTTAAACTTTGAATTTAAACACCCATGTTTGTAAGTATAATAAATAAATAAATTGCTGAAGTGCATGTTCAGTGCAGTGAGTCATCTCACCCATCAACTCACCTTGTCCAGTAACCGCATGGTGCTCCAGACGATTGTCATCCAGAAAGTGACCTGCAAAGGCAATTGAGTTGTTGCATTTAGTTGCTGTGTGTCAGCGATGTGGCGCCACGGCTAAGAGCGGTGGCAGTGGTATTAGTGCTGCCCCACGGTTGTCCATCAGGTTCTGGTCCAGTTGAAGTTGCCGCCGCCGACGTTCACTCACGTTGGCCATGTCGCCACCTGACCACCTGACCACCTGACCACCGGACCAGCTCCTGGTTGCCTGCTCTTTTTTCTAATTAAACTGAGACATTAGTTGGCCCCGCTGATTGCCGCTGGGAAATCGTCCGAGGAGTTATGAGAAAATAGTTTCGCATTGCTCGGCCTCTAGATTTTTTTTCTGTGGCCCATTTGCGTGCAAAAATTGTGTGAATCCGTTAATGAGTTTGTCTGCGCGGCTGGCCGGTCGTAAAGGGTTGCCCAGGATTTCGGGGTAATCATCAAGTTATGAACACTAAGCACAATAAGCGCTGCTGAACTGAAATTCCTCCGTAAGTCGGCTAAGCCAAACGAACCGCACCGAACCGCACAAACCCAGGCCGATTTGCTCGGCTTCTGGGCGCCCCGCAGCTATGTCAAAAACATTTCTCTAATAAAGCATTTGCAGATAATTGCTGGCCCCGTCCCTTGCCATTTCTGTGTTAATTACAAGAGAGCTGAAGAGCTGGAGAGCTGAAGTGCTGGCGCCAGCGAAAAGTTCAGCTAATGAACAGTGGCAACTGCGAGTGGCTTTCCAGCGGCATTTCAAATGGCGGACCGGCAATATGAGCCGGGAACACCAGTAAAAGTTGCCTTATTGTTAATTTGTACAAGCAGGGTATCCGATCCGAGTACATCTACATCGGAGCTAACAATGTGGACGATCGCTATCGCAACAAAGGCAGCAGCATCAGCAGCATCAGCAGCAACAACAACCTTATTGGCCAATTGCCTAGCGTTGACATTATCGGTCGGCGATCATTGCCGCCAACGTCAACGCCAACAAGCTCTGGGGGTCCAGGTGAAGCCAGTCGGCTGGAGTTGCTACTGCAACTGCAACTGCAACTGCTACTGCTACTCCAAACGGGAGCGTGTTGCTGTCAATGTTGCTAGTTGGTGGTTGTAGCTGCAGCAGCAACAATGCTGGTACCATCGAGGCCCAGCTAAAATGTTGTTTGCATTTTAGGAATTTATGTAAACATCTTGTAGGCATCCTGCGACTGCTGTTTCTGTAGCGGCTGTTAAAGGTCAATTTTTCGACTTATTTTGATGCACTGAGAAAAACTATAGCAAATTAATTGGCTGCAAAGTGCAACATTGGTTTTTGGAAGCATATTTGTTACTATAATTAAGTTATTGACGACAAAAACAAGTACATAACATATCTGAATTTGTAAGAAACACTCAAAAAGCTTTAAGATACGAAAATCGCAATTGTTTATTATCCGGCACTTAAAAGTTTTAAAGTCTCGATGTAGAAGAACAATCAAATGGTTAAGGTATATACGTCCAATAACATCCAGTAGCTAATTAAAATAACTTCAGTTATTATGTAGTATTTTAGATATGAACACATAATTCAGAAATTTTTTTAGCTATATCCTTAAATTACAACAAAGGTGTTTCATTTTGTATCTCGTATCTTTTTAGATTAATGATAGTAGAGAACTGAAATCTTTGAGTCGATAGCTAAATTGTTTTCTGTGCGGCACTCCGTGGGAGTATGAGACCGGAGTACATTGTCTTGCCGGCTTTTGTTCGGCGGCCCGCACGCGTTTTCCAATTTAGCTTTTGCATTCTTCTCCGAGTGAGTTTAGATCGGTATCTGGGAGATCTGCGGTTCGCGCGCCGCGATCTGAATCTTGGAAGTTCGTGATTATCGGTCGGGTTGTTTTTGTGAGCAATTAATTAACAAGAGCATTGTTGTCAGTCAGGTTCTGGGTAGGTCAAGTGATCTGGTGGCTGGTGGCTGGTTGGGATAGGTTCGGGCCATCGGCTGACTCACCTTTCTGCAGACTGTTGTGGTGGTGATCGTTCATTTTGGCCTGAAAGGAGAAGAAAACACGGGTGGGCATTAGGATAGCTCGCCACTAATCGGCCGCAGAAGTAGGCGTGGCGCCAACAAAAGCCAACAGCAATTCAGTTAATTCGATTCGTAATTGCCGCTTCTAATCTGGCCAATCCCTGATAATTGCCTGTTGTCTCATATCAATTCATAATTATTCCACACGCGCTTAATTAACCTCATCAACTTAACATTATTATCAAATATTCATTCGCCAGTGTGCAACTGTGACCCCGCATCAAATGGCCGTAAAACAATTTGCGAGCGCTGTCAAAAAATATTTAAACAAATTTTCTAATAACTCCCAGCCCAGCAAATCGCAGTAAAGTGTGCAGTGAAAAAGCGAATGCAATTTGCCCCGGGAAAGTCACAAATAACAAATGTTTTCGCCAGCTGTCAGAGCGAGTCAAATCTAAACAAGCGATAAATGAATTGAAAAACACATCGAATGCCTGACAAAACCAACGGTCCACACACATCGAGTTCTCCGGACGGCGAATATAAATAAAAATTCTAACCGCCGGCCAGCGAGAGTGATAGATGAAAAAAATGTGCAAAATGTGAAAAATAAGGAAAATAAGTGTCTAAAAAATGCCACCGCTTTCGATTGCATGTAAATTCCGTATGTGGGTTAAACTCCTCCGGCCAGACATGAACTGACCTAGGACGACACCGCCGTCATCGATGCAATGCGATGTGATGCGATGCCAGTAAAATGGAAATCGAATAAAATAAACTCCGTGCGGCGTCAAAAAATAAATGCCAACCGGCTTTTTTTCTAAACAATTTCCATATGCTTAGCTCGGGCGGGAATCCCCCGAAATGCAACAAGAAGTATAGATATACAAACAAATATTGCAGCGGCGAAACAAAAGCAAAATCTGGTCTGGCTTTGGCCAGACACACTGGGCTATGAAAGTAAATAAGCGTGATGGGTGGTTAGATGGGTGGTTAGATGGGTCGTTAGATGGGTGTTTGGATGGGTGGATGGGTGGATAGATATGGATGGGTGGTGGTGCTGGCAGCGGGAAGCAAAACAAATCCAAAGCTATGGCGGCACGCGAGCTTAGAATTTGTTTTTGTTTCGCCCCCCCGCAGCCCCCCTTTTGCGAGCCATAAAGTTATGCCAGTTTGTTTTAGCAACGTTTGGATACGGATCTATAGATAAACATGCTATGGCGGCGTTTAGCGGGCCACTTACCTCGTACTCCTGCTTCAGGGACATCGGATGATGCTCGCTGGCATGCTGATGACTGCGCGGCGTTGGCGGCCAAAGATTGTAATCGCTTATGTCTTTGGCATGCTGTGGTTGTTGGTTTTGGGGTTTGTTTGTGTTTATGGCCGGCGTTTTGTTGGTCAATTAGCCGCGAAATGGCACATGAAATAGAAAAGGTAGATCGAATGTTAGTGGCCCGTTTCTCAAACTTTAAAACTTGTAATGGATAGTTATATTTATATATCTCTTTCTTTTATAACAACCATAAATTAAGTCAACATCTTGAATACCAGAGGACATTGAGGAACCCTTTTGCGAACGAATTGTTGAAAAATATAACTAAGCAACAAGAAAGGAAGCTAAAACAAAAACGTATTAATCGGTGAACGACAATATCCTGATTAACGACTATATATGCGTATAAAAACATGAAAAAATTCAAAAACAAATCTATAGAAGGGCTTTTATAGTTTTATTTTGAAATTCAAAAAGCTAAACCACTTTATATCTTGAGTAGTAGGCATGCACACATTGAAACACATCCAACCTTTGAAGACTTTCCTTTTTTTCCTTTTACTTTTCCATTTTTTTCCCCGTTTTGAAAAACATACTACATCATAAGATACAGTAGGTACATTTACCTTAAACTAAAGCCGTGTTTCTTAAATTGTTAGTAATTATATTTTTGTGCAATATTATATTGATCCCACAACACCTATAAGATACATACATTTTACCCATGTATGTACTATTCATGTATTGACTATTTCCAACATACAAAAGAATTTTCGGATGACTTGGCTGATAATTCTGATCAAGAAAATATTTACAAAAACTGCTAAAGGAAAAAACTCGAGCTGAACAGACTTTGAATTATTTGTACCATTATTTAAACTTTATATTGTCATTAAATCTAGATTAACTTCAAAGTACGTCGAGTTAGACAACTTTGAGTATCATGGAAATTCGATTTTACTTAATATAAACAAACTTTTTTACTGAAATCTTCAAGTGTTCTGATATATATATATCTATTTAATATTTAATTTATATTTCAGCACTACATTTATTACATACCTTAAATTTAAATACATTGACAGCTTTAAAATGTGATTGCCGTGCCAACTGCATTTATGTATTCTGTGCTTCTGGATTTTTATTTTATATTGTAATTTATAAATTCTTGGTGAAAAAAACACATTTTTGCCGAAATTCTACAAAAAGCGTAAAATGTACTTCCGCTGTCACTTAGATTTTTATCGGTATCTTGAATTAATTATGAGCAATATATTAAAAATCGCAAAGCTCATGTTTTAAAAGTTGCAATTTAAAATTGTTTATTATCAATTTCATTATTAAACCAATTCTTGCCATCCTGATAAATTAAAGCCACTTATTCTCATGTTTACTTTATTGAGTGTTATGAACGTTTTCCATTGAATCTATAAAAAAGTTTATACAACTTTTTTGCACGCCACATATTTGATTAATTTTTAAATTGTACTAAGCATTGCAAATTTTTTGTTATTAAATCAAACAAAACTGTTTTATATTAATAAAAATGTATGCAACAAAAATATCTGATGAAACAAGTGTCAATTGAATTACAAAATGCAGTTTTTTTTGGCATATTTTTACTAAGAACTAAATATTTTAAGTATGTTAAAATATTTATGGTTCACAGCCCTCAATTCATTTGATTTCCCCCCAATCAATTGTAACAAGATCTTAAAAAAAAAGCCTAAAAAAAGGGCCTTTATGAACTGGAAACCGCCAAGAAGAGTGACATAAAAAAGAGGTGGCCAGCGGCTCAAAATACTAATACAAATAAATGTGAGTGTCAATTGAAATAGAAAACCGCGCTGCACACAATCGAGGTGTCAAAGCGACGGCGACGGCGACGGCGATGGCGATGGCGCTGGCGATGTTGAACGCCGACGAGAGCGACAAAAGTGCGGCGGCTTTTGGTGTTGGGCCAACGCAAAAACGCAAAGTCGCAAAAAATCGGAGCAAAACAAAGCAGGCCAAAACACAGCTAAAAAAGCGTTGCATAGCGCAAGGGGAGTTGTCCACTGTGTGATAGGCTCACATATGCGAGTGTGCGTGGGTGCGTTTGTGTGTGTGGTGAGTGTGTGGGTGTGAACCGCTGAGCGTTAGCCTTGTTGTTTTAGTTGGTTTTGTGGAAGTGGAAGTGGAAATGGAAGTGAACGTCTCTCTCTCTCTTCATCTCTCTCTCTCGCTCTCTAGTTAGTAGGTGGACTAAAAAAGGGAAATAAAAGCGGGAAAAGCACAGGGACAGACAGACACACGCACAGACGCAGCTGCTGATGAAGATGACCAGAGCCATGGACATGGTTGTGGACATGGACGTGGACATGGACGTGGACGGAAGTGCTCTCTAACCAACAGGCCAGCGCCAAATACAAGTACAGCAACAACGGGCGAACGGAAGGCGGAAGGCGTCGCTTGGCCCACTCCCATTTTCCATTTCCGCCAAGTTCGGTTTGCAGCACGCAGCAAAAATGGACAGGAGTAAAAAAAAAAGAAAGACATTTGCGAAACGCAAAAAATGGCACAGCGCAGCAGCAGCTTTCTCTTTCTCCTGCGCTATCTCGCTCTGGAGCTCCAAAAAAAAAAAAAAAAAAAACGGAGAGTTTCTAGAGGAAAAAAATCAAAACAAATTTTTTTAACCCCTTCGCCGGGCAGCCGGGCAGCGACGCCGACGTCGAGTGCGGTGGGGGGTGGGCAGATTGGGTGGCTTAGCCGCCTCTATGCAGCGTTAAAAAGTGCAAAAAATTAGGCGGAAAACGTTGAAACATTTTTTCCCTTTGCAATTGCACGTCCTGACCATCCGACAGGACTCGAAAGGACCCCGAACCCAGCCCAGAGTGTGTTTTGCACAATGTAGCAACCTTTGCCGGGGGTTTTGGTCCGCTCTGTTCCTCCGACTCATCCTCGCAAGACGGTCCACTCCAACACACTCCGTTGGTGCCCCTGCACCTTGGCTTAGCACGCCGCTCCTGCTGCTGCCCTCTTTTACCGTGTGCATTCCATTTCATTTTTATTTTATTTTCTTCGGCCTCACATCTTTTTAGTCATGTTGCCACTGTCTGCTTCTATTGATTTTTTTCGCATTTAGTCAAAAAGAAAAAATAAACTAAATTTTCGGTTTTTTTCGTGTTCAAATGTTTGACCATCCGCACTTCTGTCTCATCTCCTGCGATGCCCTTCAAGAAGGCTAAGACTGTTCTGCGATGCAGCAAGGATATTTCTTTTCATAAGCCTAATAAGTGAAAAGTTTGCCTAATTTGCAATGATCATATTAAAAAATAATATGTTTGTATTGTTGTATTTTGATTGTGTTTCAGTGTTTCAAATTAAAAATAGATATCTTATTTTATTTACTTTCTAAACATCTGGCATAAAGTCTAAGAAGGGATACTGCAGATAATCTAAACAGATACATAAAGAACGATTCTGTTCTTAAAGTTTGAAACACGTTTGTATTTTAGCGAACGCCAATCAAGTGCAAACCGAACTCACATCTGAACCAAGCGCGAAAATTGTAAAATTCTTCAAGATTATAAAAAATACAGCAGAATTTTTCTGAAATTGACATTTTAACTTGCTAAAAACAGAACAAATTATTTATATATTGCATATTGGATTGAGTACAGTTCGAAGAAGATATAAGAACTTAAGTTTTAAAAAAGTAGTATTTAAGTTCTTGAATTCAGAAAAAGCCAAAAATGCTTTAAATACTTTATTTTTGTTGGAGTTATAAATAAAATAAAAACAATTTTGAAAGACTTAAAATTTCAAGAAATGCAATTAAAACCATAATCATACATTTCTAATCATTTTGCAAGGGAATTCAGGTCTTCGCCTATCCATCAGTGACCCTTAGCGGCTGCTTAGGTTTCTTTTTTAGTCGCCAAAGTGCAGCGCCGGGGTCTGAGGTTAGAATAGGTTGTCGCCGGTTCTTGTTGATTTTGTTGGTACACAAAAATTGTGTCCAACTTTGTTGCAATTACTTTAAAAAACTGAAGTTGCTTGTGGTTTTGGCGGTTCTCCCTTCCGCCCTTTATTTTTTCGCTTTCGGTCCAACTCCGTTCGCAATTCGACGTGCCGTGACTGGCCCCATTAGTCAGATTTGGCCTCGGATACAGAATCGGACTCAATTGCGTTGGAGGTGGAGTCGAAGGTTTGTTTCGCTTCGCATTTCAGTTTTCACTTTTTCGTTAACGGTTTTTTGCTCTAATTGAAGCGTTAGTATTAATTGCAAAGCTTTGTTTTGCAACGTGTCATGGTCAGTGGTTTCCTTCATCCGACAGATAGACAGACAAACAGGCCCGGAATATACTTAAAGGATATATAATTCATTGCCGGCTAACTAATCTACTCTAGTCTGGGGCTCTGGCGTCAACTAAGTGCAAAATTAATTAATGAGCTTCTTTACTAACTTTGCACTGCCCGAGCGGCTAACTAATTTCGCTAATGCAAGTGACAACAGCAGCAAAAAAATGCCATGATTGCTGACGCAGCGAGTTGTCAGAGGGCAGGGGGATGGGGTTGGAGAGACGTCATTGTTCAACTTTAAAAATTAATTAACTACGAATATCCTTTAAGAATCATGCGGGTGTAGCAAAGTTTTAAATGGGTTTCGCCAGCAACTCGCTAACGAGTCCATTCAATGGAAATTCGGGGCTGGGTGGCTGAAGAGGCAAGGTGAACCTTTCCGTTTGGACACGTCGTCGTCCTTGGAGACAATCACTCTCCATTCAAAACAATAATTTCGCCGCTCCTTAAAAAAAATTGTTGGGAAACTCGCTCAAGCTCAATGAAAGGCAAAGGGAAAACAAAGAAAGCCGAAGCAAGCCGGAAAAAAGGGGGAGGGTGGAAAGCAAGACCAACAAAACAATGTTTAACGCGTCGCGCAAAGAAAAACTTGTTTACATCTTGAAAAACGCACAAAAAATGCAAAGAAAAAATCGGACGATTTTTTTTTACACACCGTGGCACGCGAGCAGAGAGCAAAGCGTTTTGCTGGAAACTCGCAGAAGGAGCAGCGGGAAAAAACAAAACAAAAAAGGTAAAAAAAACATCAGAGAAGGGGAAGCTCAAAAGGACTTTTTTCAGCGTCGCGTCTGCTTGGAAAATGGAAAGGGCTTGGGTTTTGGGATCAGACGCCGAGGGGTATGAGTTGGCCGAAACAGTTGTTGGCCTGAAGTTTTGCCCAGTGAAAGTGCTGGCGGAGGGGGGGGTCGGGTTGTCCCCACATCTCAGTCTATAAGCTGGAATTGAAAAGGGGTTGCTGGGAGGGCACTGGGAATGAGTTCTTTAACTGACGACTTGACCTGAAGCAGGACCAAAGGGTTAAGGTCGTCGTCTTTGGTCAAGTTTTAAGCAGTTTTACCCAGGAACTAGAGGATTATCTGCGATTTCAATGCACAACGACTTGAAATGGTGATAAAAATCTCAGAAATATATATAACTAGACGGCAATCCAATTATGGCCCCCGTTTAATTTTTACAGTCAGCTATCACTCATTTAATTCACTTAGCTGGGCAAGTTTGCTTGCATATTAATTATGGCGCAGCTTCATTGCTTTGGGAACGCTATCATCTAGCACCCGACTGCAGTGTCAAGTAGAAAAGTTTTCCCAGCTCGACTTTTCCCCGCTTCCAGCTGCGTCTCACTTGCTTTATCTCTGGAAACTTAGTCCATCAAGAGGGAAACTGCAAGACAAACTTCAGTGACGAGCCGAAAGTTAATACACTGGCACAAATCAGTTTTCTTTGAAATTCTAGATACAAACGCTACACATTAAGGTAAAGTGTTTGGTATTACTTGAGACGTTCGTCACTAACTTAATATGTTCATCAAGCAACTTTTAGTTATGCCTACGCAGCGAAATTTTATTTAAAATTTGTGTGTACAAAAATCGATTTACCGGCGGATTGTTGAGTCTGTCAGCATGCTCTTGGTTTTAATGATTTCATTAAATATGGCACACTAATTCTTTTACATAAGACTATTGTCACTAAAGAACCAACTTATCTGTCCAGCCTCTTTAAATGTTCTGCGTGTAATTTCGATTAAAGATTTCAGGTCCCGAAAGGCATTATATAATAGCTGCCACTCGATAATAGAATAAGCTGCCGCATGATTTGAAAGACATCCAGGAAAAGCAAAGCAATTTAGTTCTATGAATTAATTTATAACTAAGCGTCATTGTAGCACAAGGATAATAATAAATTTAAATTTAATTGAAAAGACAAGCAAACCTATCCATGTAATATGTATAGGAAAGTTGATTAGCTTTCTATTCCAAGTAAAATAAGCTATCGATGACCGAAATCGGATAAGCACAAGTTTAAACATAAAGTATGCATGAAATTAGTTAAAAAAGATATTTACACTTAAAAAAAAGTTGATAAAGTGGATAATCAAGGTATACTCTCTGAAAGATTTTGTGGATTTAGATTGGAAACTACCGGAGGAATGCTCGTTTTTAAATTGGTTAACAAAGTAACGGTTATCTAATAGTTGGAGCACCCACTTGAGAGTTTCTTTTAGTTTAAATTTATAATAACTTTTAGTTTAATGCTATTTAAACTTAAATATTTACTTTAAAATGCAATTGCGTTGGCCTCCCTTCTCTTTTTTAAATATATTACCTTAACAAATTTATATAGTTAGCTATATTTCGTTGTGATGAACAAAATATTTTCTTTGCTTGTCACATCGGTGACTCTCGGAGATGTATTCTAAGCACTGTTGGGAAAGGTACTCTTTTTTTGGACACAAAAAATATTTTTTAATAATTTTTTTTTTAATTTAATTGTTTTGTTCTTCGCGAAGTTGCAGAGGAATGATGATATTGTGTTTATGTTGTAGCAGAAACATGTAACAAAAAACATCTTGTATCTTGCTTGTGTGGTGATATTAACGTTTCTTAAATTTGCAGTGAAATTATGTATTTTTTATTTACATATAGGGGAAAAGAATACGAAATTCTTTTTAGTGGTATCAAGCTAATTTGAAAACAAAATTGAATAAAAATATTTCAGTACCAAAATACAAATTATAGCAAATTTGTAAGATAAATAAAAATCTTTACTTAGGTAAAGTAAAAGGAATCCTCATATATGTGTACCTAGGCAAGGTATAGGGTATCAAAAAAGTGTACCTAGGTACATACCTATGTACAAGTATCTAGGTACACCCCAACACTGATGTTAAGGGTCAATGTTGCTATGTTTATGCGTGCAGCTGAGAGATTTCCATGCTAAGCCATAATATCAATCTTTGTATATTCCAGCAAAATTACAGTTTTTCTCAAAGTGAGCCTTAAATTGACAAGTGACACGCCCCCAGCATTTAGCTTGCCCCGTGGATCTGAGTCCGTGGTACTCACGTCAACGTTGCCGTTCCACATGTAGTGCATGCCCACGGCGCCCGTGGGATCGTGGTGCGTCTGGCCGGTCATGTGCTCGGCCATCACGGCGCTCATCCAGTGGACCAGGCCCTGGGTGGGGTTCTGGCCCTGGACGCCGCCGATCGGCATGTTGGCAGCGGCGGCGGCGGCGGCGGCAGCGGCGGCCACGGCAGCGGCCGTGGGGTTCGAGCTGGCGGTCTGAGCCGCACTGGGATCGGGGTTGTGGGTGGGGCCGGGGGGCGGATTCGAGCTGGAGCTCTCCTGACTTTTGCACGTGGCGGCTGTGACCGCGTCCGCTTCTGTTGGTGGTGACTTTACGGAGCTGCCAAAGTTTGGACGCGCCTGTGATGCGGGTTGGGCTTGATTCAAATTAATTGCGGACACTGAAGTCGCTTGGGTGGCGCTGGTTTCGCTGGGCGGAGTGGGTGGAGTTGCTGGGTGGTGGTTGTTGTTGCTGACAACCTCGTTGTTGTTGCTGCTGGACCACGAGTAGCCGTTGTTGTTGCTGTGCGGCTTCTGCAATGAAAAATGGTTTGTTGCTGCTTGAAATGGGATTTCGTCAAACAATTTAAAAATGTTGTTGGTTAATGTACTGGGCATGAAAAAGGAAATGGGGTTTTAATGACAGTCATACAGCGTATTGCCAGACCATCTATATTCTTCACACAACATACTTCATATACACGGTCAATAAAGTGTTTAGAAATATAAACTACTAATTCTTATACAATTTTACAATTTGGCTAAAACGTAGATATAAAAATAAATATATTTTTAAATATTTATTATATACTTACTAAATAAAAATATATGTTTTAGAGCATTATTCCATCTCATTGATGGAACCACTTAAATACTAACTAATTAAAATATATGTTTCAGAGCTTAATTACTATTCAAATATCCACCATATCATTGATGGAACCACTTAATTTCATGTGAAAATTACGTTTTAATTGTAGGGCAAACAGTTTAATTTGAGGGTTGCTTCATCATACATAGCGAACTTAAGTTACACATGAAGTGAGCGTAGACACAGGAAAGCCTTGTTTTATTTGTACTTATCTGCATCCCAAAATAATCAAAATTAAACCCCTTGAAATCCCATTTATGACCCCCCATTTACTTCCCCTCATTTTCCCATACTAACATGCCGTGTTGGGTGTTTTCCGTTCTCCGGGTGTCTCTGCTCCTCATGTCCTTCGTTTTCCAGGGTCTCCTGATCCGGCTCTTCGAGCTCCGTCTTCACCTGACCATCGCCACTCTCCGTCACACAAGCGGCCGTGGATGGATGTGAACGACCCGAGGATGGGGACAAACTGGGGGCCGGACTGGGGCAGGCCGTTCCGGCGTGGAACTTGTGCTGCTGCTGTTGCTGTTGCTGTTGTTGCTGCTGAAGAACGGCGCTGGCGAAGAGGCTTTTGTAGAATTCGGCGGGCATCAGGAAGGGCGTGGGGGCAGCAGGGCCGGGGGTGTAGCTGCCCCGCCTCAGCTGATCCTTCAGCATGTCCATGTCCGGATGGCTGTATTTGCCAATGAGTTCGTGCATGACAACCAACCCGGTGGCGCCCAAATGTAGGCAACGCTTTTTGTTTTTTTGCTCGACAATTTCACTTTCGAGGGGGGAACACACCCGCTTACAGCAATTTATCTAACTGAAGCGCAGTTTGTTTGATTTTCCGCATACACACATTGAAAAACAAAAAAACAGCACGCAAAACGAACAAAAAGTTTGCAACCAAGTTGGATCGTTTTATTTGGGCTTAACTTTTATTTCATTTTAGATGGCGGGGGCGGAGTGCACTTCACCAACTTTTTCCGCTTCCACCCCCCCTTTTTTTTAGGTGCTCACCAAATTGAAACAAATAGAAATGATTTGCCACCAGGAACTTGCCAGCGATGACCTTGAAAAAGTTTCACTGGCTGTCAGTTTCCTATTTTTTATGAGTGGTTTGTGGTTATCCTCGTGATGGACATGTGTAGGAATTCGCTTTTACTTGAATATGTTGCCCAATATGTTTTTTTTTTTTTGGCTTATGTTTTGCATATTGTTTAGTAAACACTCTTTCGATGCTTGTCGCTCTTTGCCTCTGTGTTTTGATTTATTTGCTCAGCTGGCCGCTTTTGTTTACTTTTCATGTATGATTGTTTCATTTTGTAGCTGGCGCTTAGGTTTTATTTTTGGTTGGTTGCGATTTCCACTTGGTGGGTGAGTAGAGTGTTAAGTTAGTAGTTGAGTGCTGGTTTGTTATGTATTTTGAATTGGTGTTTTCATCATTTTGTAGATTTTTGTAGATTTAATGATTATTTGGCTTGATGAATATTTTAGTTGTTTGTTTAAATTACTTAGCAGATTATTTTATTTGTTAAAATTGGAATAAATGTATTACTTATATATTTTGTTTGCACTGAGTGATAGGAACTATGCGTTACAATTGTGATTCAGTTTTTCTCTAAGTTGACATGGTTTAATCCTTTCGGTTTTGCACTTTTGTGGAGGAACTTTAGTCGTGGTGTTCTTTCCTTTTTATTTTGCACTTTTGATAATGAACTTTATATAAGGTTTGCATTTTTTTTTGGCACTGCGAGGTGAGGTTTTGGCATTGCACAGCACCGCGTATACGCCACGTTGAACGCTGTTGATATCACGTATACGCCACTTAAAGTCGCAGCTAACCACTTTCCGCACCATCGTTCGAGGCTGATAAGAGAGGTTGAGTGTGAGTGTGAGTGTTTGCTAGTCGGTCTCCTGGGCGTGTTTGTGTGGGTTTCCGCCCGTCCGCCTGTCCGGCTGTCTTGTGTGTGTCCGTGAGTCCGGGGTCCGGGAGTCCGTCTACGTCTCCGTCCGTCAGCGAGCGTGGGATAACCTGCTACAACTGAGAAGCCCAACTGGAAGCCAAAGTGCAGCAGCTCAAGGCAAAAGAAAATGGCGAGCGCGCGCGAATGCCTCATACAAACAAGCGCACACACACACACACACACATAAGTAGAGGAATACGGTGCATGTGTGCGTTAACTGAGACTCTTGTGTGTTGTGAATGTTTTGTTGCTCCTCGCAATCTTCCTCCTGCTGGCGTTTCTGTTATTTCTGCCCTTTTTTATTTTATAATTCCCCCTTTTTGCTCCCTTTTTATGTGCACACTGCCCGTTATAAGGACATACATTTGCAGTTTCAGCGCGCACTGCAGCATTTTCTTGTAAGAAAAGCGAAGAATGGGGAAAAAATAGAAAATAAAGCTGAATATTCGCGACATGCGGAAGGGCGGTGGAGCCGGGCGCGGTGGGGCAGATTGATTTTCTTTTATACGGTTTGCTCATGTTTGTGATTTTTATTATTTTGATTTTTCTTCTTGGAGAACCAAGCGGCGTTCGTGTGAGTGCAGCACATTCTCTAAGAGGTCCTGTGTGCCCGTTTTTTTCTCCAAAAAGCTGTGCTTGCCGTAGGCGTAGACAAGAATAACAGAGTTTTCTCCCACAACTGACGGGACTTGAAAGCGAGCCAGAGTCAAATCGAACTACCAAAAATAGTTGATATGCTCGGTCAGGCTCTAAAAATGATTCACTTGGTTGTTACCATCCGATTGAGATCTCTGGACCTATGTTTATCCATATAAATTTATGCTCATATAATTTATACTCAAAATTTTAATATTTGTTTATCAAAATCAGTTAAAACTAATTATTAATAGATTTACATTGGAGCTCTAAGCTTTCATTTTAAAAAGTATTCAACTAAAAGAAATTTATATTTTTTCCTTTTGCTGGATGTTAGGACCTGTTCAACCTGTAAGCCGTAAAGTTGTTAATACGGGTATATATATTATGTGTCCTCCCTTTAAATGTCTACATTTCCCATCTGACATATTTTCCAAATATTAAGATCAAGGGAATTATTTATGAACCTAGAAAAGTATTTTATTACACACATACATTTACCGATTTGAGCTTCATTTGTATGAGTAATTTTCTTGTATGTGCGAAAACTTTTGTATTCCTATGTTTACTAGATAGGAACGTGCTTGCCACTGTTCTTATTATATGAAATCAAGAAAAACTTATGATTGGTATTGCTGACTAGTGTCTTTCAATAGCCAAAAAATCTAATCAAGGAGGAAAAGATGTCGGTTCTGATCAAATAAGGTATATCGATCTTTGATAAGCACCAACTGCCAAGTCGTCCTATCCATGTCCTAATGTCCGCTTAGAGAACTGCGAGCCGGGAGACTTCAGTGATGCTACTTGGGATGCAAGTATTTCTTAAACCTTTCCACCCCCTGAAACAAGCCCGCGTTATCCTAATTGCAGTTTTTCAGCCCTGGCCTCGATGAGGCGCCATCTGGCGTGCGGTGGCCGCAGTTGTCGAACACGGATGCGGCACGGATGCGGATGCGGTTGCGGATGTGGACACGGACACGGACGCGAACGCGGCACCGCGACCAATAGATTTGGCCAAGCCCAAGCGAACTGAAGACAACGAGAGTTGCAGCCCGCCAAAGGCAACAAACCCCGGACCACATGCAACAGTCTCGGCTACTGCGACGCCGACTGCGACTGCGACTGAGACGCCGACCGCGGCAGAGGCAGAGGCAGCGACTGGTGGAAAAAGGAAAACAGACAGAGCGGAAGCGAGCTCCGGCGACTTATGGCCATGTTTGTTGTACGGGTAAGTAGCAGCAGGAGCTGTGCAAGAGCAGCAGCGAAATGGCGCGCGCGAAAAGGAAACTCAAGAAGTAGAGCTCGGAAAAGCAGCAGTAACAAACACGCACACTGCCACACACACACACACACACACACACAGTCACAAAGGGACATAAAAAAGCCAAGTAAAATTGTATTTTTTCTTGCACATGAAGCAAAAAACGCCAGCAAACTGAAAGAAATACATTGCAGGCGTCGAGCAAAAAACGAAATAATAACAAAAAGTTGTAAAAGAAAAGCGAAACCGTGTGATGTCCTGGCACAAGCACACTCGCACTCACACACACACATATATGGGAGGAGGGAAATGCCGCGACGACACATCGAAGAAAGGATAAAAACATTCAGCGCTGCCCGCATCGCCGTCAGCGTCGCTGCTTCTGCCGGCGTCGCTGCCCGGGAATAGCTGCAGATATGGCTCCTGCTACTGCTACTGCTACTGCTACTGCTGCTGCTCAACTCAGCGCCCTCCTGGCCCCGTTAACATTTCACGAGCGCCAATTTCTTTTCCTTCATTTTGTTTATATTATTTCCCTTTTTCTTACCATTTTTCCCGCAGAGCTGAAGCCCGTTGTTTTGTTTGTTGCCCCTCGCCGTGCAATTGCTCTGAATGTGTTTCTATTATCCGCTGCAGTTGTTTCCCCTTTAAATGGAGTTCTGTCTGCGAGGCACAGAAAATCATTGAGGAATATTCCCAAGTCGAAACAAGATCAAGGTAATTCCACAAATGGAACGGAAATTAAAGCACTTTCTTGCAATGAATTCAGAAAGGTTAGAAGAAGAATGAGTATTTGAAAATCTTGGAGTCTTCAATATTCTGGGCTTAACTTTAAAACTACAAGTGATAACTCTGAATAAAGTATTTCCTAGTTGAATCTTATTAAACTGAGAATCATTATTAATCGATTTAATAATACAAATTTAAATTCACCCTTTACATAAAAAAAAGAAGAAAATCTGATCCTTTCTTAAAGACTTTAAAGGGGTTTTGTTTTTGGATGGACGAAAATTAAGAATTTTGCCCCATCTAAAATTTACTACAAATCAGTTCAATTCGTTGAAATACAAAATTGTAGTTTTTCTTTGAAAACTAAAACATTACCCATTAAATGATTGTGATTTAATTTATTTTGTTTTAACAAGGCATCTTTTTGTGGCCGTGCAAATAATAAACTGTTAAGCTTCTGGTTTTGCCATATTATTTTCTTGATCCTACTACTCTGCCGTAGTAGATCTCTTCTGGTCGATTTCAAAACTATATTAAGATAACTTTCTTGCAACGCTCTTCTAAGCCGATTTGGTTTAAAGAAGTGCGAGGGACGAGCATCAAGACCCCCTGGCAGTAAGGAAAAAGGACATAACGCTTTCCAAGTGCAGTAGTTGCACTTGCAGCGCAGCCGGCGTCGCAGTCGCAGTCGGCGTTGCGCGGCAGCGCGTCGGCGGACGGAGGCCCCAAACTAAATCCTGTCCAAGAGCATATGTTTTTATGTTCATGTGCTGGCTGCTTTCTTGTTTTCTTTTAGGTTCAAGGATTTTCAGCTGCCCTTTGCTGACAGTCCACACACACACATGGGATCATGACTGTAAGACTTTTTAAACTTAAACATAAACATATTGACTTTATCTTAATAAAATCTATTATAAATCAGATAATTTGCCAACAAATAGCAAAAGTGTATAACATTACTAACAAGTATACAATTAAGATTTTTAGACTCACATTTTTTTAAATATGTAAATACAAATAGTAATATTATTTACAAATTGAAATGTTATAAAATACACTAGTTCAGTTCTCAGATATTAAACTCCACAGGTGGAAAGCTACTCCTAACATTTCTAGTCCTTTGAATTGCACCTGTTGATTGGCTTTAATTCTCCTCAGCCACTTGAAGCCTTCAGGTCAATTGACATTAGTCTGCGAAAAGCTTTGAAAGTCAGGCAATTATGGCTTATCCTGTGCTCGAACCAAGCTGGCAAAAAGTATCCTTTAACTCTTTAGAAAAAGCCAAGCTGGAGCTTGAGCACTTTCCCCCAAAAAAACACTCGAAAGCACCAGCTCTCTTCTTTCGGGGTGCTCTCGCTCTTCCTCTAGCTTTCCCCCAAAAGAGAGCGCGGGTGCTCTTTCACGCGCTCTTCGAGTTGGGGGCGTGTTTGTTTTCGTGTTTTTTGCCAGCCTGCCACTTGTGTACCTCGGTTTTTTGCCCTGCTTGGCTTTTAAGTGTTATTGGATGATTTTATGGAAATTGATTCGGAGCACGCCCTCTTTTGGGAGGTGGTGGGAGAGGGGGGAAAACAAGTGCAGCAGCTGCTCCAATGAGGATGGCAACCAATAATTTAACATAATAACATTATCCATACACTGTAATAAACAGTCAGCACTGGTAATAAACAGCGAAAAGTTGTAGTCTCAGTAACCAGCACTGAAATTTTATGACGTATTCTTGTTCAGCAATTAAATTAATTAAAATATTTGAGTTTTATTGACTCCAAATATATATAACATATCTTATAGTTCAAACGTCATGTTTTCTTCTCTTTTTTTTATATTTTTACCAAATATTAAATCCATTTAATAAAACTGGAATACCGAGCCTGGCACAAGATCAAATATATGTTTTGTTTACAAAATTTGTAAGAAAATCGGACTCAGTTAAATAAACGTTTCATATGACTTTGGGTTACATGAAAAAAAATTAATAAAATAAATAATATTTGTCATGGACAAATTGAGTCAAAGAATTCGACTCATTAGTAAATGGATTTTGTCTATTTAAATTTGTAAGCCACTGGAATTGACATAGGGACAGAATATTTTAAAATTACGTTTACACTATGTTACACAGTATTTTTATATAGAATTATTTATTTTTAAATTTTCAAAAATGGTATCAAATATTGTAAAAAAATAAGTGTTCAGCTTGATTGAACGTTATAATGGGACAGAAAAAATAAAGAAAATTACAAAATTACGAAGACAGACTTGCCGTTGGGTTTACAACACTGATTTATATAGAATATCAAGTGTACCTTCAAGAAATTGGTTCTAATTGAAGATATTTTATATTGATAAACAATCAAAAAAATATTTTTCGATAATGCTGTCATTTGCCAACTGTCAAGATCAAGGTATTCTTTTTTTCTGAGTTCTTTACTAATACATAATATCATCCATGAGAACAATCGGGGTATACAAAAATTTATGAAAATAAAATAGTAACTTGTCAATGCTTTTAAAAATATACCCACATAAATAGGAATTTAGATGTTTCATAAATATTTAACTTTTGCAATAGCTGCAAGAGTTGAAGCTTCGGTTAGCCGAAGTTTGCTTTTTTTTGTTTTAAACTTAAATTTGCTTATAAAAATTTAAGAAAATCTGTTCATTATTTTGAGTTAGAATGACAACCGAGTTCAATATCGTAGTTTACAAAAAAAAAAACGCATTTGAGCTGCGACGCGCCCTTTACAGCAAAATATGCGACTTCGATTGTTTCCTATTATATAATTTCAAGACGCTGTTATAATTTCTTTTCATTTAAAACCGAGGATGAGTGGGTTTCCTTCAAAAATTAATTTTAAAAAATAAGTTAAGTAGGTTCCAATGTCCATTGCATATTACAACATGTAAATTAAAGTAAATTTGATCCGACAAAGAGCAGAACTGGCATTGAATAGCATATAAATTACTTTTGTCATTTTCACTTATAATATATCAAACAAAAACACCTCTTAACGAGGTAAAAAAGTCGTGGCGATCGCACCTACAGCATATAAAATACCTGATATCAAATTTTGTGACGAAAAATGAATAAGCATTCGACTATATAAACACACTTTCTAAATGTTTCCATTCGGACCGCTTCATCCAGGTATTTTGCCTACACAGCCATATTTATTTCAGCATGACCTCGATTTTCTCGCCGTGTACTCACCCGAAACGTGTGCTCCACGGGGCAGTCCAGGCTCAGCGCGTAGTCCTCTACGACGGCTCCCAGGGAAGAAGGCTCGCCGAAGACCTGCTCGATCTTGATGGGCGGACTGGGCAGGAGGGGCGTGGCGCTGGATCCTCCGACGGTGGTGGAGGAGGAGGCGGCTGCGGCGGCAAAGGAGCCCTCGACGATTACTGGCGACCCCTGGCCGCCGGCCTGGCAGACGGGAACCGAAACTGAAACTGGAACTGGAACTGGAAGTGGACCGTTGCAGGGCGTTGACGGGGCCGGGCAGGGAGTGGGCGTGGCCGGGCCCTGGACATGGCCATCGTGATAGGGTGTCACAACAAACGAGGGGTACGAGCGGAACTGGTGGTAGTCACTGTGGCCGAGCGAGCTGTTGTGCGGATTCGAATGAGGATGATGCGCCAACTGAGGTCCCTTGTACCAGGTACCATGCATAATCATTTAAGCACCTTCGAGTGACGGTCCTGCGAAGCGTTTTTCTAATTAAATTTCACTTGGGGGCTCCAGGCAATCTATTTCACTGGTCAATTAATTATTGCTGATATTGTTTTCGTTGACAGATTTATTCACTTTTTGGTGTAGTTTAGCATTGGGCGACTGACAAGGAAAGTTAATTGGTTAATCATCTGTAATCAATTTATTTCTATTGCAATCAATGTATTTAAAGACTTTGAAGTGTTTTTTGCAATTATAATGTTGAGTACACTTTTTAGAGAACTGTGATCAATAAGTTAGCAAAATTATTTCTCAGTTTACAATAATTAATGGCGCTAGGGATATGGTACTAATAAGTTATTTTCGTTTGACTTAAATTCGTAAAGCATTTCAAACATGATAAAAAACTCCCAAACGGTTAAAAGCGTTAATCATGTTTTAGTTGAAAGTTCGTATTGGGTGTTTTGATAATTATAACAAATTTTAACTAATATTTTTTATTTGTTTATTGAATGACTTTTACATTCAGAATAGTTAACAAAGCAAACAATAGATAGGTAAAATAAATATGTTTTTATTGAGACTTCATTATTATATTAATATGTATCTTATCAGGTGGTTGAAAAAGGGCTTCCAATAAAAAAATATATCCTTATAATATTTTTCTTCTGTGATATATTTTTGGACAGACATTAACAATTAGTTTTGTTGTTATTTTTAAGATATGCATTGATTGCTTTACTGGCTAACCATTTGACATTTACTCTTCAGAACGCTCCATTTAAATTTAAATTCGCGTAATTAGCTCCTCAAAATTCGTTCACTTGCAATCACTTAGCTGATTGTGATCGTGATCGTGATCGTGATCACAATAATCTTACAGCAACGCACAAAAACACGTTATTACGGCCTCGAATGTATTGACACTTGACCAATTTTCGACCCTTTCCGAGGGCTTGCTTGCTTCCTTTTTTTTCCGGCCAAGACGTGTGGTGATAACAATTTGCGACTTCACTCCGCTCGCTTTTTAATTGTGATACCGCGAGCTGGGGGAGCAGCTGCACTTGCGGAATGGCGAAAATGCATTGCACTTTGCGACAGAATTCTTCGCGGATCGGATGGGACGCGGGCAAAAAAGACTGCAGCAGTGTTTCGGCTTTCGGCTGGCAAAGTGCACTTGGCTGGAACGCGCGCGAAAGTGGCCAACTGGTGGACAGTGGCCGGCCGTTTGGGCCAGGTTTAATTTGGCTTAGCCGAGCAGAAGCGGCAGCAGCGAGCAGCGCAAAAAGTAGCTGCCAGCTCGCAAGAATTCCGAACTCGAATGCTGAGTGCGGCCACGAAAAAAACATTCAAATGCCTCGCACTCGCCGCCAAATCGCAGCGCAGCTGTCCCTCTCGCTCGCTCCCGCTAGCCCGCTCCTGCTCGCACTCGTTTCCAGCACGGCTTGGGGCAGACGGCGACGCCTGCGCAACAGCTTTTTACTCCTTTTGCTCCACGGCAGCGGCAAAAAAAACTAGTTCTCCCGCTCTCTCACTCGTCCGCTCACTCTCTCTCTCTCTCTCTCTCTCGCTCTGTCTCTCTGTCTCTCGAGTGGGGAAAAAAATTGTTTGTGGTTTTTCCTGCAGCTCGCTTTTTGCCGCCTCGTCTCTTGAGCAACTTTGATTTGATTTCGGGCTTTTTGCCTGAGTGGCTTTTCTTTTCTCTTGACTTTGAGCATGAATGAGCATATTGCATGTTGCATGTTGCGCGTTGCACGGCGAACGGTTAATGCTGCGCCCCTTTTTTATGGCTCAGACTTTATGGCTGCTGGCGGGGGCGTTATAATGACGAAAATGAAAGTTCAAGTCCGTCAATGGAGACGAGATTATGAGCCAAAAATGATAAATAACCTTATTAAAAATAAATATAAATAACCCTATTCACTAACTTTATTAGAGTCCCCAATTTTTAAAAAATATTTAAGTTAATATTCTAAATCAACAAAGCTTGAAAACATTTTCAGTATTTGTATTTGTATTTTGTATTTTGAATTTTTCTAGTCTTATAAAGAATAGTTACTTTCAACTTATATTTCGCTTTTTGTTTTTTTTTTTTTAAGAACTAATATGTTTTTTAACATTTAACTATTTTTATATAAGCTAGCTCGAACAATCGTTTTTTTCAGTGAGCAATTTTAACTTGTGTTTATATATCTAGATTTTATATTGAATTTAATTTTTATAATTTTTTAATTGAGTGGCATTTCGGTTGAAATTTGCATTGATTTCAGGTTTGAGAGAGATTTTTGTGACACCCTCTTTTTAACATTTACAAGCTTAGTTCCTTTTTATTCAAATATCCATATACAGTATGTGGTGCACAAACAGAGATGGGAATATTTAATGCATTCGTTCCGATCCCAAATGCATAATTTTCCGCAAAGACAAAAACGACAAACATCAAAACACAAAAAATCATATCCGCCGACCATTAGCCCATTGACCAACTTCGATGGGGAACCACGCGTAGTAATGAGTTTTTAATACATGTAATATTCAAATTAAAAATCCGCAAAAACTGCCAAAGTCAGTGGGCAAAAACGAAACACACTTTTTGTGGCTAATAGCCGCACATATTCATTTCAAGCGCGGTGGCGCGGCGGCACTGAAAAAATTTCACTCATACGCAATGTATACCAAGCTCAAGAGCAAGTCGGGAAAAAGCGGCGATGCGCTCTTAAAAAAAAATCCGAAATGCGGCAAAAAAGAGCGGGCGAGCGAGACAGAGAGGGCGAGTGTGTGCGAGCAGTTCGGCATGCGGGCGAAGGCGGTGGAATTTTTATTGGAGCACTTGGTTTATTTCTTTTTGCCCTGCTCGCCCCTGGATTGGCATCTTTTTGTTCGTCTTTCCTTGTACAGTTTTTGATTTTTTGCTCTTTTTTCGATTCTGACAAGGCATTTTTTATGGCCACCGACATGTGTCGTCGGCGGGTGGGAAAAAGTCAGCAGATTTTGGCTATGACAACTGCAACAGCCACTGCAACAGCCATTCCTGGGGGAAAAAGTCCGAAATAAATGAAATTAAAATGCAAGTGCTGCCAGGGAAGGCCGTTTATTTAGTTAATCAATGCAATTGGCCCGTCCACCTGGGGACTCAGAACTTAATGCCCCAGAAGCAGTATGTCAGGCATGTTCCCATGGCCAACAATGTAGCTAGCGTTTCCATATTTGAATCACTAGGAAATTGCTTCATTTAGCGAGCGCTATTTTTTGCCAGCCGACGGCGAATTTAATGTCCGGCAGTTTCCCTTTCGGCTTATCAGCTAATTTGATTATTTCACCCAATTGCCCGCCCGCCGCAGTCACATATTTTTTTATGGCCTGCCATTGCATGCGCTTTTCGTGCTGATTTTCATTTAGTTGAGTGCAGCACAAGTTTCGTTATCGGCTTTCAACTGTCGCCGCCCTTGTTTGCACTGTCATCAATGCCATTTTGTATTTGCATGCGACCAGCCATTTTGTGCGATGGCACAGAGATAAGTGTTGGCTGACGGACAGCGCAAATAATTTATTAATTTATTAAGTAAGCAAAATGGTGCTTTTAATATCTGGAAAATGGAAAACAATTTGTACCCATTTTCAATTATCGCTCCACAGCATAACCACAAACATACACGTTTCAAAAGATATTTGAATTGTTGGGTTTCCTTTCCTAAGAGAGAGATTTAAAAACAGATTCTATAAAAAAATCATAATTTTTGCAGCTCTATTTTTGTTATGACTACAAATGCTACCAGTACAACTAATTTTTGGTTTGACTGGACAACTCAAAACATATTATTTTTTGTAAGAAAACCAAACAAAAAACATAACTGTAAAATAACTGACATATCTTTATTCTAATTCAATTTTAGTGTACGAAAGTTTTCTATACCCTTGCAGAGGGTATTATAATATCAGTTAAAAATTTGTAACGTAGTGAAGGAGATTTTTCAACCCTATAAAAAAAATATATATTTTTGATCAGCATCGATCTAAGCGTCCTAAGCGGTCTAAGCAAACTTCGGCAATTCAAAATTCATATCATTAATTAAAAAAAAAAATAAAAAAGATATGTCGTTATTTTTTTATTAAAACGGGTAATTTTTTAATGGTAACCATCACTATAACTTTGAGAATATTCATATAAATTTAAAATCAAAAGTTAATAAATTAATATTAAGACAATTTACTCTTTACTCACAATATAAGAAATGCAAATTTTGTTTCCGTACTTTTAAATATTAAATTGAAAGAAAATTTTCCGTTTTAAAGCTAGGGAGCTAGCTTCGGCAATTCAAAGTTCACAGCGTATATTTTTTAAATCAATGAAGGCGAAGGTAAGTCGATATTCGAATGAATTTGTATACTTTGACAGCTATATAATATTGATCATTGTCCTTTTTTTGTTAAATTAAATCTGGTATTCTTTAATAGTAACCATCTCTATGTCTTGGAGAATTTTTTTTATAAATTTTAAATCAAATCATTTTTAATGAAGGGTCGGGCTTAAGTTTCACCTAGTTCTCAGATGAAGTGCAGTGTTTAGAAGAGCAAAAAAAATGTATTAAAACAAATTGTTCTGTAACTGTTTCTATTATGTTTCGTAAACCCAGAAAAATAAATTTCCTGATTTTGAAAAAAAACCTGGTTTTAAAATGACCCTGCCAATTTTAGGAAAACATGACTTAAAAATGTATTAGAATTAATGAAGAATTAAGGCCATGTTCAAGGTTATTCGGCCTTTAATCATCTTTAAGGTATGGTAGGATTATATATAATATATTATATATAAATATATATGGAGACTTGTTTTAGAGCTTATGTTTAGTCTATTGTTTTTTAAATATAGAAATATTTCCTAAAATCAAGGGATTTGGTTTTCTGAGTGTATTTGTCCATTAAAGCCAAAACTAGTATGGGAGCACTCTGTTCTGTGAAGTTTTAGTTTAGATCCCAGGAGAAACCGTGCAAGGTTTAAATATGAATGTATTAACAATACTATTTAGGACCAAGTTATATCCATGCACTTTTCCGATTTTCGCCTATTTGAAAATATAAAAAAATTACATATAAAGTATTTTCATTGTTTGAAAACTTTATTTAAAAAACTGTAAGTCAAATGGGAAATACTCATATATGTATTATATTAAAACGATACCTATTATCAACTAATATAAAAAATAAAATAAAATTGGCGATTGTTGGTGATATTTTTTCAACAAAGGCTTTTTTCCAAACAAAAAAAACCGAATAGAGCCGCAATTAAACTGAAATTAAACTTGGACATGATCAGTATATCTGTTAATGTTGAAGTAGAGTTTACGACAACAAGATTTTTTCTATGTGCTATTGGAGCTTTATGATAAAGTCGTCCGATCTATCCAGCTCCAACTTTTAAAATACCTGCAATATAAATAAGACTTTCATCAAGATAGCCTTAAAACTGAGACACTAGTCTTAGCAGAGACGGACAGACAGCTAAATCGGCGTTGCAAGCATTTGAATGACATTATAATTCCCCCTGAAAGGGTATAAAAACTGCGGCGCCATGTTATTTAAATCTGTAGTAATTTTTATTTTATATATTAGCACACAAGCTGTGAGTGAGCCTATCAAAAGCTTAAATTTGATTTATTTAAAGGTAGGATTTTATTTTGCTGGGACTTTTCTTCTTGAACGTCGAGGTAAAAGAAACCTTTATTGAAAGCCAGAAAATTTAGGTTATGCTTGTGCAAAAAGAGTTAATAATTTTGGGCAATTTCTTTGAGTAACACAGTTGCACGCACTGGGAACTGGGAACTGGGAACACAGCCGCAGAGCCGCGCCGCAATGCAAAGTCCGCTCCAGTTGCATGATGGCGCACATTTATCGCCGCAAACCGCAGCGGGACAGATAGCTGACGAGGCCGCAGATGCTGCAGTGCGGCGCCACAGACTCCAGAAGCCTCGGAGCGAGATGTCAAAGTGCCAGCCAGCAGCAGAGGCCGAGGAGGCGGCAGGAACAAGGAACCCAGATAGCCGTCATGCTTGGTCATGGACGCCAAATGGTTGACAGACTCTCCAGACAGCTGCAATGGCGCAGGGGCAGGGTTTGGCTTTCGGCCTGGCCTGAACGGAGGGCAGGAGGTGGAGGATGGAGCGCTGAGGGCTCCCGACCGGGCTGCATCGAGGGTCCGGAAGGCTCCGCCCGCTTTTCAACCGCTTTTTGCCGATTGGCCAGAACGGGTTGGCCGAACGCCGCAGAGCGAGACAACGGGGCGCATGAGCTATGCCTTTTGATGGAGAGCGAGTGAGTCGCCACCAACTGAAACTGAATGGTGTTCCGAGTGAGACGGAGCTAGCCGAGCAGCAGGCAAAAACGGGACAAACAAGGCTTAAGAGCATTGCGGCCAGTCTCTCTTCTGGCCAGGCTCTCTCTCCCTCTCTCTGTCTCTCTCTCTCTCTCTGGGACAATTCTGCAACACGTGTTAGCGTGCTGGCCTGCGTGCAAAATAAGCGGGTTTTTTTTAGCCGCTCATCCGACGCGTATTTTGTTAATTTAATTAAACAAAAACGCTTTGTTTGTGTTTTTTTCATTTGTTGCTGGCCAAATGGTTTTTGCCCTGTCCTGTCGCCGAGCACAAATGAAATTGGAATCGCGCTCGTGCACAACTTTGAATATGTTGAGCTCTCTCAAACGGTGACTGCCGTCGATTTTTGTCCGTCTGCTGCGACATTTGCGCTTTTTGCGGCATCTTGTTTTAGCCCGATTGCTGTACACGTAGTATTTGCCGTTTAATGACTTGCGCCGTTAAGTTTTAATTGAAATATCACACATTTGACCAGTGGAAACTGCCATTGTAATTGTCGGTCGAGTCTCGCTGGGCTTTATGGTTATTTTCTGCCTTTTTATATTTGACCAAGTTTTGTGTAGTGTAACTTACGTATTCTACAGCATGAAACAATGTAGTGGAAATCAAAGATTTTACCGTCGAACTATTTTAAGACTGTTTTCATGGAGAATAATACCATTTTCCAGATAAATATTTAAATTTATTTTAATTTTACAAGCTACAATCAAAAAAAAATTATTTAAATGTTTTTTTTGATAGTAGTTTGTAAACTTGATATTTTTTATTTCACCACAATTCTTTAACTATTATGTATATATATATATATATATATACATATATATATATATATATATGTATACATGGTTAAGCTTAGTTCATATATTTAAGAACCTTAAAAATAATCCTGGGTAACATTTCAACAAGACTCGTTTTTTATATCATTTATATTAGGTTTATATTAGGTTTATATTTTTATTTATATAGGTTGCCTTATTTGTATTTGAAATCAGTTTTATACATATCAATATCAGTGCAATATCATATTTCTAAAAAATAACTTTGATATAGTATTGGTTAAATTCATTTTTTTTTTGGTAAATAACACCTATTTTAAATTGGTTCAGTTTGCTTTCGTAGCTTTTCTTTCCAAGTAACTGTACAAAAGTATAAAATAAAAGCACCTTACAAAACTAGGCTAATTTCCAAAAAAAAAGACCACGTAATTTGTAAACGGAAGTTTTGCCAGCTTTAATTTAGAACTCGCATGTCTGTCGGCTAACACTGGCACTAAGAAAGTTTCAAAACTTCCGCACGTGACTTCCGCGACTATTGTCGATCGGCCTGATGATCCCAGTGGCAATTGAAGGGGCTCTTGGTTAACTCTTGGCCAACTGGGCTGACAGGCCGAGGAGTTAACGATTGCAGCGGTAATTGGAGCCAAGTCAACCCGTCGAGGCGTAGGCGATTAAAAGGCGATTATTTCAATTGCGGCCCGGGAAATAATGATGCCAGCTGATGGATGGATGGAAGATGCTGCGCAGGCAACTCGGGCAAAAAAACAGTCACCTGTCAACGAATTCGGTTTAGCTGTTATGTTAATGCGCCAAAGCCGTTGACGTTTATTGGCAGTTATTTATGGCGGACACTTCGCGCGGACTCTGGCCGGGACACCATTTTGGGGCCTGGCCATTTTGGCGACCAGCGCTGTCCGACTATGGAAAATTCTATAATTGTGCAGGTGACGAAGCGAGTGGCACGCGCGGTTGACGCTGATTAGAGCAGTTGCACCTGCAGCTGCACTGGCCGCAGTTGCAGTTGCAGTTGCAGATACTTCATCTCGAGTCACGCTCGTTTGTCAGCTGGCATATGACCATAAAGATATTATTAATTATGACAATATTGGAGTAAAAGTGTTTGCTTCGAGGCGCGGCCTTAAAAAGGAGTGCTTCTACTCTCCCTCGAGGACATTACAAGGCATTCGGACTAGAACTCAAAATTCCAGCTTACTGTGGTAAGAGATTAGCAAAATGCAAGTTTGTTATTAAAAACAAGAGATATCGAGTTTCACGATTGTGACTTTACTCTGCAAACAAACAATCGGGTCTCAGGTGGCGCCATCTGCCGAACTGCATTAACAACACTAAAAGCAAAGAGCGAGCAGCTGCGACCCTATCATATGCAGAGCAGCGGCAGAGTACACACGATCAGAACAAAACCACAAACACATTGACAAGTCTTCACTATTCTCCGCTGCTCTTCATGCACGAACTCCGTTTCAAATATACAGTGACGTCATAACCAAACATAATTATCAATAACTTCTAAAATTAATCCGAAAGTCTCAGAGTGACAGTACATACTTTCACGATTTGTGGATGTTAGAGTGGGTGTGTCTGTGTTTTGAAATAAACCCAAACTCTATAGCTTTAATAGTTTCTTTGATTTCGACGTTCATACAGACTGACAGACAGACGTAATATCAACCAGGCCATTGATCCTAATCAAGAATATATATACATTGTAAGAGGGATAAAAACCGAAGGGATAGTTTCTAGAAGCTTGGAGTTTATTTACATATTTTCTTACGCTTACCAACTTCCTATAACTAATTTAGTACCATTTATTTACCCACACATCCTTTTCAAACTCAGTACTTAATTGTCGAACGTCCTCTAAAAAATTGGCACGGTCTGACATATGAATTTATTAAGACTTTATACAAACATTTGTATACAACATTTGGTATCGGTTACGATTATTCCGGTTGCAGAATAGGCAAAAAACAAATTTATTGGTTTCGTTTTCGGTTTCGGTTAGGGTTTTGATTAGGTTATACCGGTTAAGCATAACGGTTACGAAACCGGTTGGATACTCTGCTATTTAGGATCGGAAACGCTTCCTAATTCATTTAACAATACAGTGTACTACAATACATACATATTTAAATATAAAAACGTTTTTGTTTAAATCGCGAAGTTATAAAGACTAAATGTCTAAAAAATTCAGCTTCTACATTTTTTAACTTCTATTGTTTTGGATTAAATCAAAGAAAATTCCTTTCAGATGTATCAAAATTCACTAATGTATACCCACTTTATATTATTGTTTTTTATTTTACCTCTTTTTATTTATACACCCAGAGAAAACCCGAATGTTACATGTGTTTTTGATTTCTAGATTATAGATTTCAAGTTTTAGTATTTAAAACTAAATTGTTTCTTACTTTAAAATAAAAATGAAAGTGTAAGACAACTTTATTTAAATCAGTGCCGAAAATATTTAATTCAAATTGAAAATATTTGATTTACCATGCTATTTCTCAGGGTATATTAATAAACATTGCACTTTTTAAAGCGCTTGTAAAAAACTCCAGCTATCGTCAGAATTTTATCTGCAGCTAAATCAGTTTTGCGCACTGTGCAGGTACTTTGTTCTTGTGAGATTTGCTTGTGAGATGCTTGACTAATGAGTTTATTAGTATTTATATGGTCTTCTGAAGTGCGGTTGGCAAGGCTATTCAAATGAAATCGACTTTCTTGTTCTGGATCGGGGCGATCTTCCAAGAAATATCGATATCGAGGCACGTGTCATCTCTTGGACTGTCTGATGAGATGTCCATATCTGATGGGTGTTCGATTTGTCACAGCGTCCGGAATTGGGCATTCAATGCGGGACTAGACGGCAATGGGCTTGTGAAAATATGTAGCAAAATGGTCTAGGAACGCATTTGGCACTTTACCATTATGTTATGTATTCCCAAGGTGACTCTACGTCTTTTATAAGGAAAACAGCCTAATTTATCTTAGGGAGTTTTTAAAAAACCAAAATATGATTGTTTAATTTGAAAAACAGTTTGGAGCTTAAATCAACGCATATAAAAAGTGTTTAATTACATTACAACTCGTCTCTGGATCGGTTAATCAATGTGTAGCGGTGCTTGGAGGGTCCCAGCTCCTTAAACTTAGACTCGTGGGCAACCGGCGGGAACTCAGCGGGATCGATCGTAGACTCTGATTTCTCGTAGGCTTCGAGGGCCAAGTGGAAATTATAGTGCAGCACGCCGCTAAACAGGTCATCGATAAACTTTTTGAGGACACCGGGCTGGTGAATGTCCTCGAATCGCGGAAATAGGTACATGTGTACGAACGAGTCGATGGCGACCACTGGCAGATCGGCCACGGACTTGCCCATGTGGTGGAGTGGGTGCTTGAAGAGTTCTCCATCGGCAATCAGGAAATTAACCCTTTCCTCATCCGCCAGCTGCCTCTGAATGGCGGCCTTGAACTCCTGGACGGGACCCATATCGTGTTTGTTGTAGAAGAGCAACACGAAGGGCAATCCCTCCTCTGAGAGCTCCTCGGCATTGGCGAAGTTGATCTTCCGCACCAGCGGCACACACTTCTTGTGGATCCACCCGGATAGGTCTCTTGAGCTGGTTATGTTGCCCGAGTACTCACTGTAGTACTCTTTGTGGTTTGCGTCGGAAGGGTCTCCGCGGAAGATCAGTACGTTCTTCTCGGGAGGTCGGAGATTTTTAGTCAACTCCCCGAAGCCAGCCATGAACCTTTTATTACGGTTGAATAGAATATAACAATTAATAATGTATACCGAAAGTAATTGCAGAAACGATGTAATTTAAAGCATGGTGAACAAGTGGAAGGAAAGCTATTAAAGCGTTTTGTTTTAAACACATGACCTCGAGCTAAGCAAGCTACACAAGTCATCAAAATAGCATTAAATATAAGTTGTGTATTGAATTTTGAATTTTCATAAGCTCACCTGCAATCATTGCGCATTACACTCGCTACCTTGCGATAGCTATCATATTCGACATGATCCTTGGAAACAAAGTAGCCAATTACCATGCCATCGCCCACCTCGGCGTTTTTAAGCTCATCGATGGTGTGGAACTCCTTGATAGGGTCCGATAGCTCCTGCTCCACAAACTTGACGAAGGCTTCCACAGATCTCTGGCCACGGTATTCCAGATTGCTTATCAATCCGTTTCTCACTATCTTTAACGTGGGATATTTGAGTATGTCAAACTTGTCGGCCAATTCTTCTTCAGTATCGCAGTCTATTTTTCCCAGGACTACACTGCCGTTCTCAGGAAACTTCTGGTGAATTCTGGCCGCCGCCTCCTCGAAAATGGGCGCAAAAATTTGGCTAAAGCGACACCAATTCGTGTAAAAACTGAGCAACACCAACTCATTGGATTCCAGAATATCTCCAAGGTTTTCGCTGGTCACCGATACCACCGCAGAGTTTTCAACGGCAAGAGTGAGTTGAACCACTAAGAATGTCACCAAAATGAGGATGTCCGTACCGCTGGTCACCTTCATCTTCAATCCACTGATGACGTTGTTGGGTTCTGTTCAAGGAAAAAAACAGAATTCGATACGTCAAATATTAAAATTAAAGCCGTACTTAATGGATTTGCTGCACCCACACGGAAGCTAAACAAGTTCCTATCGATTTCTTATTTTCTATCATCACTTACAGTCAGGGAGCTGAGTTGCTCTGTGACGTTCGTATTTCGCCAAAAATTCCATCATTAAGATAAATCGAACAAATTAATAGGGCTTATAGGGGTGTATTTTGGGAGGAACAATTTACCTATGGTGGCAAATCTATAAATATAGTCATTTTTGAATGCGTAAAAGAAATGGTGATTTTGGGTGCACATCTGCACCGAAAACCAAACTTTCATCTCTGCCGAATTTTGTATATTTAAATTTCTAAACCAGTGTTATATGGCGTAAGCTTAAATCTAAGAACATTGTTTCCTTTGGCAGGTAAACATGAACATCTTATTTTCTTCGCAGATAAAATCGATGTAAAATATCAGTATTAAAAATTCATTTTCAGTTTTATTTTTACATTAGGCGTATAGGAGAGGGTGGGGCGAAACCGACCCCTTTAAAGGCAAATGTGGGACTATGCCATTAATAGCCTTATTGTTTTTATACGCATGAACTCGAATCGGATCCTTTTCTTTTGATTTGTTGTTGTGAACCCAAAGTTTTGGACTTTGTTCAATAAAATTGGGACCTTCAAAAATGCAGTGACCCACTTGGCATATTTCGACTCATACCATTACAGTTAGGTTTTGTAAAGCAATCGATAGCACTATTGATAATATCGATAATCAAACAATTGAGCAAACATCTATTGTATTAATCACCCATCTATACTATTGCTCAAAAAAAATTTTATTTTGGGTTTTTATTGTATATGTGGAAAAAAAACACTATATAAGGGAGCTTGCTGGAGTTCTTAGCTTTCAGGTCACACTGCACTTTAAAAAGTTCGAGATGCATCCACGAAGGCGAATAAGTTAAAAAGGACACTTTGCGAAACAGTTTGTTTGCAGACCATGGCGAAGCGAAGTATGAGAATTCCATTTTTCCAGTTGACAATATATATTCTTTTTTGTTGTTTGTTTTGTTTATATAGGAATCAGTCGATTCTAGTCCACTAGATTGCTAGTCCAATGAAACAACATGAGAATTGGGATTTACTTTCATTTAAACATCGTTTTTATATCCTTGCAAAGGGGATTATAATTTCAGTCAGAAGTTTGCAACGCAGTGAAGGAGACATCCCCGACCCTATAAAGTATATATATTCTTGATCAGCATCACTAGGCGAGTCGATCTAGCCATGTCTGTATGTCCGTCCGCTTCTACGCAAACTAGTCTCTCAGTTTTAAAGCTATCTGCATGAAACTTACCCACAGTTGTCTTTCTATTGCAGGTAGTTTATAAGTCGGAACGAGCCGGATCGGACGACTATAGCATATAGCTCCCATGGGAACAATCGAAAAAATAAATAAAAATATATTATAACTGTTTTTTAATTTTTTTTAGTTCTTCGACACATAGGAATGGTTAAATATTTCCGAATTACGGTTTAAATTTCATCAAAGTCGGACGACTATAACATATAGCTCCCATAGAAATAATAAAAATATATTAAATAACTATCTAATAATTGAGCTGCAAATCATCATTGCTTCAATGCTTTTAGACATATACGCAAGTAAATCATAATTTTAATGTTTTCAAAAATATTTAATTCTTGCAATAGCTGCATGGGTATATGAACTTCGGCTTGCCGAAGTTTGTTTCCTTTCTTGTTTTATAATAATTTTAATTAAATTCTCAACATTATCTAGATACAACAGTCTTTTTCTGAATTCCAATGGGTTACAGTTTCTTTTAATCCTTAGAATTTGCTTTTTAATTCCGGTTCTCGAGCAATTATAATTTTCGAGTTTTAGACGTTCATACGGACGGTCGAACAGACAGACATACACATGTACATAGTTACTCCATGACTAACAGGTATAACATCGATTTTGATACGTTAATTTTAACAGTTATAACATCGAATTTGATACATTAAATATTATTATTATAGTTATATCAATCCGTTGAGTTCACGTGAAAATTTACATTCTTATTAGTCCACTTCTTCAGAAAAACACAAATATTTGGAATTTAGCTAATTATATTTATTAACAACATGTACTTTCGTCAATTATTTTTATTTGGCATGATCCTTAGTGCGAATTGCATCTTGATACCCCCATTCTGTGAGTTTCTTATCTCCTTCTATCAGCATTTACTAAAACTAAATTAAATTTCAGGCGACATTCTAGTCATAGATACTCCTTTAAGTAAGAACATTTTGTACAAACAATAGTTGTTAAGCCTTTCAGAGGGTATTTTAGTTTAATTTAATTATAACCCATGCATAGGGTATTAAAATTTAAGTCAGAAGCTTGCAAAGCTGCGAAGAAGACATTTCCGATTCTATATAGAATAGAATATATAATTTTTGATCAGCATTACTAGGAGAGTCGATCTAGCCCTGTCCGTCTGTCCGTTTCTATGCAAACTAGTCTCTCTATTTTAATGCTAGCTGCATGAAAGTCGGATCTAGCCGGTTTAAGACCTAAGGAAAAGTATAAGATATACAAAATTTGAAACCACTTAAAGTCTTAGTAAAAGCGATTTATAAAAGAGTAATGGGTGTGTATATTTTATGGGGTGGAAACGCCTACTATTACCAGTTGCATATATTTCAATGAATACAATATACTCTCTTACTGTTCAATAAAAAAATAGAGCTTCGGGTATACAAAATATAAGATTGCTACAAAGAGAAAATTCCGACGTCTAGATATTAAGAATTTGAATTCTCAAGTAAAGGATTTACTCATTGAGAATACATATCTCATTTTAAGAAAATATAATTTAATTGATGAAATGTGTGCCTGAACTTTGAAATGAGAATATTATTATATATATAAGCTTCGGCTTCGAATCTCTCCCTTCCTCTCCAGTTAAGTATTTTTTTCATTTTCAGAATGCTACCATGCCAAAGATTGTGAATGTAAGTATATAATAAAAAATATTTCATAAAAATATAAATATATATAATTATTTCAGCTTTTAGAAAGTGCTTAGGTCCGGAATATGAAGTTTAGTGAATACAATTCTGAAAATCAATGTGAATTATATATAATATTCCAAGAGCACACAAATAAAATCCAATGTCAGTTACACATATAGTTGAAACACTTGAAGACTTGGATGCCAATGATGCGTCATGGTCATGGGACGATGTCTGCAGCTTAGGACGAATTTTCAGCAGACAATTTGGTAAGCTGTCAGCGCCACTCAAAGTTGAAGGGGGCGTGGCAGCGTGGAGATTTCAAGAGGGTAAGAGAATCGACAACTCGCAGCTAATGATTGTCTGCGAAAGGACATCAATCAATCCGAAGTTAAAGCAAAACCACCCCCGGGGGAGAGCTCGCCCCGTTTGTATGGTTCTCACATTAAATAAATAAACAAACTTATAAACTCATTCAAATCATATTTAAAAATCATCGCAGAGCAGCAGCAGCAGCAGCAGTCGTAGCAACAGCTTGTCCATTCATGAATTATTAGTTGAAGCTTATCAAACGTGACCAAAATCGAAACGAAAGTTAATAATAAAAAAGAGGGAAAAGCAGTGGGCCAGCTGTTGCTGCTAAAGGGCCAAGTAAGTGTGAAAAATCAGCAAAACTGGACCTCCGTTTTGGGAAATTCTTGGGCCACCACCCCCGGGATGAAGAGCAAGTTCTGACAGGACTTCTGGCTCACATGTGCTGTGTTATTATCTTTTGGCCTGACCACAAGACGTGTCAACTTGTGGATGGAACCACAATACTTCACATATAAATCAAGCTCGGAAAAACCATGTAGACACGTGAACGGTCAAACTTTTTTTAACTAGCAAGCCGCTTATAAATTTTTTAGCAATATCTTCTGTTCGATGATGCATTGAACGAAAACAGTGCTTAAATGTCATGGTATATGCAAATATATAATATATGTATATATATAAAAATTATTGTTGAATACAAAAATGAACGACCTTTCTATTTTCAAAACCAAGAAGAGTTATATTCGACGAAAAACCCTTTGAAAATAGTGGATTCTAATCTTAATTTTAAAAGCAAATATAATATTGACAAAATTATTATTTTCCTAATGTTCCATAATTTGAATAGCGAAATTTTATTCAGTTTGCAAAGAGCTCCAACCAAATCTTTGGTATTGCTCTCCGCTCTGTGTACAAAATCAGCTTACAGACAGGACATGTGGGTGGCTCTCTTGTCCTCAGTTGTGGTCAATGCTGCCGGACTTGTCCTAACCAACAGACGTCTTAAAGGCGAGGTCTTAAAGGCTTTCAGCAGGATGGCCACGGGCACCGCCCAAGTTGCTGGGCCATGACTGCCACGGCAAGGTGACGTAATTATAGATGTACTGGTAAGTCGCCTGCCTTCGAGCCAAAGTGCAATGGACGCGGGACAAAGACAAAGCCACCCTTGCAAAGTATGCAGCGGACGGCTGGCAAGCAACTCGCAACGGGAGCTGTTGTAGCTGCTAAATGTTAAATGCTAAATGGCAAGTGGCAAGTGGCAAATGGCAAGGAAAACAAAGTCAAGGTACGAGAGCGGCAAAAGGGTTGACACGGCCCAAAAAACCGAGCAGGCAAGTGGGCGTAAACCAACGCCGTGCGGTTGTTTTGTAATTGATAATGGTGTGAGCCACTTGCAGTGTTGAAAACTTAAATCGCCGAATACTATAAATAAACTTCTAAAACATTCGAGTACTTTACCATTTAATTGTTCGTTATTGTTTGATTTCATTTTTCATTTTTTTCTTGCATAATGTTTAAGACAGATATATAATCAATCATATATACAAGTCAAATCGGCTATTGATACTGATCCACAATAAATTGAAATTCAACTTGGTGGGTTTTTGATCGCCGAAAATATTGTGAT